AAAGAGTGAATTTTATGGTATGTGAATTATATCTAAAGGGGAAAAAAAGGATTTAAAAAATCCACATCTTGAAATATTTTACACCACCACAGTGTCATGAATGTCCCCCACAGTCTGGTGGTTATGACTTCCCAAGGACAGGTTTTTTTCCCCTGTTCTATTTGGCATCAAGGCATCTTTCCTTACAGATCCTTGAAGGAGACAGAGTGAGTTTTCATCCTTTTCATGACATCAAAAACTTGGGAATCCCAGAATTATGGGCAGAGAACCTCTTGTTAGCTTATGCTGAATGAGCCTTGAATGCCTCCCATCCAACAAATCCACCAAGTTCTTATTCAAATCCAACCAAGTTCCGCAATTTAGCAGCAAATATCCTCAGAGCAAAAAGGACATATGGGCTCCTTTAGTCTCCCAGCTTTCAGCTTTCTCTTAGATTTTGGAATATTAATTCCTCAGAACTTAAAAAAATTTCTAACACAGCATTCTTAGCTATTTTCAGTGTGAAGGCTTTTCTAAATAACTATATTCCATAAATGAAAATCCTGTATTTACTTCTCAAGTTAAAATTAGCCCAAGTGAGTTAGGACAGGATTTGCAAAAACTAAAGATAGGCTGATCGAGTCTACATTAAAGTAGCTTCAGTATTACTTGTGACCTTGGGTGACTACATATTTAGGACTTAAATAACATATACCACAATGAAAAGTTTACTTTAGGAAAAAATTAAACATTAATTTGAAAGGGAGTCCAGTTTTAGAAGCATAGGTGGGTGACTTATTCTCTTAGGTATCGAGGCTCATTATACAACTAAAGTAAATAAGATGGCAGCAAGGGTACACAAAGAGGCCAAGGAAAGAATAGCCGAGAAACATATGTAGACATATTTGGAAACTTAACATATGATACTTCCAAGTTACTGGGAGGAAAAACAGAATATTTAATATTCTGATTACCCATAAGAAAAACTGATTACCCACAGAGAAAAAAAAAATGAAACAACTCTGACTTCACACCGCACAAAAATCAATTTCAATTTCACACAGATTAAGAACATAAATGTGAAAGGCAACATTTTAAACCTTTTAGAAGAAAATATCAGACTATAGGATCTCAGGGAAAGATTTGTTAAACAAGATGACAAAAGTACAAACCACAAGGTAAAAGTTGATATATTCAACTATATTAAGCTAAAGAATGTATCCAAAAACCACTATAAAGAAAGTAAAAGACAAGCTACCTACTGGAAAAAACTTATTTGCCCCATGCATAACTGACATGGGATTATTACCCAGAACATAACATATATATAAACAAACCTAAAAATCAATTTTTAAAAGACAAAAATATTTTTTAAAAAGGCAAAAGACACATTCTATAGAAAAGGATACATGAAAGTTTCAACATTATCAGTAATTAAGGAAACATAAACTAAACCCCCAGTAGGGTACCATTTTTTAACCCATCAGATTGTTGAAAAGAAAAAATTCAAATAATTGAAGATGCTGTACAAATGTCTCAAATGTTGTTGAGAGAGAGAACAAATCAAACACTTCACACACTGCTTATGAGAGTATAAACTGGTACAACCACTTTAGAAATAATTCAGTATTATCTAGCAAAACTGAAGATCCACAACTCTACTCCTACACAAAAAACCCTAGGAAATTCTTGCACGTAGACACAAAGAGACATGGATTAGAATGGTCATGACAAAAGTTTTAATGGGAAAAAGTAAAAATTAAATTAATAAGAAGACTGAAACACCTCCAAATATCTATTAACAGGAAGATGGATAAACAGTGATAAAGTCATACAATGAATATCATACAGCAATAAAAACTGAACTAAAACACATCAACATAGATGTCTCATAAATATAATGTGCCAAAAAAGTCATGGAATAGACAAAATCAAACAATATTTTATAAATACATACATATAATAAAACTATACAGAAAATCAAGGAGGGTGGAAAGAGAAAGACACAACAAGGGAAAAAGAAGCAATCAGGACTTCAAAAATATTGATTATGTATCATTTCTATAGCATGATATGGGCACAGGAGTTTACTTGTATTCTGGTTGTGGAGGAAAAAATGGAAAATACAGAAAACTGTATTAAGGAAATAAAAATTATCAATAATCCCATCACCCAGAGATAACTACAGTATCGGAAAAAATAAATGTGTGCTTTCTTCTGCTATTTTTATTTACTTTTTTAACAGCTTTATTGAGGTACTAACTTACAGTAAACTGCACATATTTAAAATGTACAATTACATTAGTCAGACACAGGTATACACTGGTGAAAGCATGAAAGCATCTTTACAATCAAGAAAGCGACTACATCCATTATTCCCAAAAGTTTCCTCATTCCCTTTTTGATCCATCCCTCCTTCCTTTCTCTTATTTCCATCCTTAACCTGTTTTCTGTCACTTTAGGCTAGTTTGAATTTTCTAAAATTTTTTCAGGTAGAGTTTGGGGATAGATTACGGATACGTTTCACTTTGCGGATACTCGCAGGAAGTTTTTTCCAAAATGTTAGCACTAATTTACACTTTCATGAGCAGAGCATGAGAGTTCCAGGTGCTCCACATACTCATCAACAGGATGATTGATGGCCTTTTTTCATTTTAACCATTCTTTTCATATTCCCAAGGAAAATGCATATACAACTACTTATCTAAACAACAAAACATTAAATTTTCAGTGACGATGGAAGTGAAACTCACTATAAAGAACTTTTCATCAAAGAGCATTTTTCCCTTTAATGTATAATAATTGAAGCAAAGGCCCTGACTGATGTATGCAACATGGATTCTGATTTAGTCAAAATATCTGGTTTCCATGTAAGATTTTTATAAGAGTCACTGAGTTGTACATGAAAGAATCACATGACTTAAAAGAAAGTTGGGCGTATCAAAGTGCTGAAACTCAAATGAAATACAATCCAACAGTTTGTTAAAGTGTGACTCTAACACTGGTAAAACCTCAACTGAACAAAGCAAAGTACCACTAAAAAAAGTGTTCATAATTTGAATGGGGGGTAGATGAAATACTTTCTTATAAATAGTTCTATTCAATATGCTCAGCCAAGTGCTCTCAGCTTCTGCTACTTAACCATGAGAGAGGAACAAAGCTGTGAGATGCACTGTCACATAAAGGTATTCCGGTGTCACATTCTTTCCAATCCGACTGTAAACTTCCCTCTACCACCCTGTCACTTCTGATCTTTGTTTTCTCAAAATAAGGATCTTACACTATCTTTATTTCTTCATCCTCTATTTGCTCCTCAAACTCCTTCAAATTTGGCTTCCAACCTTATCATTCTACTTAAATTACGTTTGCTGACCCCCTCCCCCCTCCAAACTACCAAAGCCAATAGGCACTTAAACCAGCTGCTACCTTCCTGATCCCTCTGATTCACTGACTCTCTCACAGATTACTCTCCTCATTAAAAATGCTTCCTCTCGTGACTTCTCTTACACCACTACCTACTACAGTCTTCCTGTCTTTCCTCAATCTCCATGGCTCTCTCCCTTCACTTAAACAGGGGTGTTTCCCAGGGCTCGTCTTCCTCTCTTCTTACTCCATTTACTTAAAATGATTTCTTCCATTCTCCCAGGACTACCTACCACAAATGCACGGATACTTCCAACATCTACAATTCTGATCCTGATTTCAGAAAATCCCTACACCAATATATCTCACTGCCAACCAGACAGCTCTTGCCAGATGTCCTACAAGAATCTCAAACTCTGCTCCCAACTTGAATTAGTCTCTTAATTTGTTAGTTTCATTCGTGAATACACATTTGTAATTCAAGTGGATCCAATAAAACACAAGATGCTTTAAAAACTTTTTTCTTGAAGGGTTAAAAAAAAGAGCAAATTTTTTTGAAATGTTTTTCCTCCAGTTATGAAGGCAACTCATAATCATTAGCAAAACCTGCAATATACAAAAGAGATAAGGAGCAAATCTTGAATTCCAGCACCAAAAGGCAAGCAGTATTAACATTTCCTTCCAGAAAAAAGCCACTTTTAACCATGATAAAGTTACATATCAAAGTATTACTGGTAAACAGGGGGTGTTAACTCTCAATATTTTACAGTTTTTTTACAGTATTGATCAGGAAAAACAGAACTTGACTAAGTGCCTACTTGCAGTGGGAATCAGAATACTTTAAATACAAAAGCAATCCTTTTACACGTTATACTTTAAATATTCTAAAGGAATATTCAACCATGTTTCTGGCTTGGCACCTATCATACCTATACCTGGACGTCCATCTGTGTGCAATATACCCCAACTCATCCGTAATAATTTCCTTTATTTATTTAAAGAAAACCACACAAGCAAGCAAGCAAACAAAAATCTAGCTGGGTAGATAGTGTTTTGCAAAAACCACAGGTGATATTTTAACATCCCTTTCGCTGCTTCTCATTTTCCGGAACGTCACAGATAAAAACGCGACGCTAACCTGTTCTCATCAGACTCTCCAATTAAAGGAAGTAGCTACCCTCTTGCCCCAAAGCCCGCCAGCGCCGGTCGTCGCAGCGCGCGCCCAGAACAGGGGACGGGGCCGCGGGTCCCACGCAGCGGCCCCGCGAACCCGCGCAGGGCGGGGGCCGGCGTCGCCCCAGCGCCCACCCCGCCCCACAGAGCGAACCACGGCCCTCCGGGCCGCGGTGATGGCAGCTGTCCGGGGGCCCTAACCTACCTCCTTCCTTCGGGCCTCCCGGGAGCGGGCGACGCCGAGGGGACTGGGAATAGCCCCCGTGCCCCCGACAGTTGTAATAAAAGTTAAAGGATACAACAACAACAACAAAAAACCCCACACACGCGGAACAGTTGCTCCACATCCAGCGCCGCGAGGCTGGCGGCGAGGGGGCTTCTCTGCGGAAGCCGGGGGCGCTCTCCCGCCCCACACGCAAACCCCGCGAGCCCGACGCGGGACGGCAGCGCAGCGGCCCCGGGAGGTCCGTCCCCCGACGGCGCACCTGACCCCGCCAGCGCCCTCCGGGCCCCGCGGTCCTGCGCGGGGTCTCCGCGCATGACTTGCAGGGCGCCCCGGCCTCACACAGCTGAGATGGCACCCCGCGGCCAGTTACCTGCTCCAGGCAGTGGGCGCTCTGCCGTCGTGCGCGGCCGCGCCGCACCTCCCCAGGTCCGTCCCGCCGCACATCTGCCCCGCCCCTCGGGAGGTGCGCGCCGAGGGCCGCGGTGGGCGGGGCCGTCCGCCCGCTTACCTGAGCGCGTTGCGCCTGCGCCTGCGCCCTCCACTCGCCTCCTTGCCTTTCCAAGCCTTTGCATTCAGCTGGTCCGTGTGGAAGTCGAGCATGGAGCCAGGCAGAACTTGGAGTGTGTTGAGAGATCAGAAGGGAGGTTAAAAAGTAGAAGGAGTATGGAGAGAAAGCTATTGGCCTGATGAACCTCTTTGAATAGGGAATGAAGGGGCAGTCTCTCTTGCAAGAGATATTGCTGCACCTTTTCTTGGAAACAGAAGAACCTTGTCTTGGTTGCCTGTATTGTTATTTAACTTTACATCCTAATTATAGTCTTTGAGAATCTGAGAAATTGGAGCCCATATCTCCAATTTTACGGCTGTACATGGACTATACCTTGCTAGCAGTAGATACATAGGAAGGAATCCTAAAGTTTTCCACTACAGTGCTGTGTCCGCCATTCTATGCTGGAATTCCCTGTAGCACTTTGGCAAGCAGTTGGTTGGCCCTTTTCTTTTAATGCCTCCCATGGTGGGAATCTCAACACTACTTGAAAAGTTGTTGAACGAATTTCTAGATTATCTGTTGGTGAATAGCTCAGCTTTTGAGAGGCTGATGGATTATTAATTGAAATAAGGGTAATACTTCTCTTCGCAGAGAGCCATCTTTCCCCAGAGTGGGTTCTCAAGGTCCTAGAGATGCCGGAGTTGGGGTGGATACAGGGGAATGGATCCCAAGGTCAAATTAATCTGGGGAAAGACACACTGTATACTCTTTTTGAGATTCACAATGGCCGGCTTAAGAACTGTGTTTTACTTTATATCAGAATGTATTTCCCAAATTTATTTGACCTAAACGCCAGAATATGCCACCCCAAATAGACCACTTTGGCACAAAGATGATTTTGAATTAAAGACACTTGAAAAACAAAGAATGAGAAGGGCACTTCCTTTTTCAACCTAAAAGCAGGAGATGGAACTCCCAAATAAAATGTATCCTCCTAAACCAGGAAGAAAGAAACATTATCACCAGAGACAGGGAGTAGAGGACAAAGGAAATGTATATAAACAAACCTTGTTTAACCCTTTTCTTCCTAGTCATTTCACCATTAACCAGCCTAGCTCAAGCCCCTTTGTCTTGAACCCTTTTCACTATTTACTACTCTTTGTCCAAATTAGTAAGAAAGTGTTAGGCTCTAACCACTTTGTTGCCCATTTTCCAATGGGGCCTCCTGTGCACACATGAAAATCTGTATGCTTCACTCTCCTGTTAATCTATGTCCGTTTAATTCTCAATCCCAGCCAGAAACCCTAAGAAGGTAGAGGTAAAGTTTTGCCTCCCCTACAGACCACAAAACTCTTTTTGAGATTACGTGTTAACATCCAGGGCCATTAATGTTTCAACACACACTGATGAACACTGCTTTAAAGTCCCAGTACATTCACCTTCAATAATGTGTCCCTCTATTACAAATGTTTGCAAAGTTCTGTACTATTTACACAAAGCTTTCACATGAGTCATCTCATTTAATCCCTGTAATTGTGATGTGATTGTTATTATCCTCAATTTATAGTTGAAAATATTGAGGGTCAAACAGTGGTTGCCCAACTATAGAGTCAAGATTGACTCTGGACTTCGGACTCCAAGGATTTTTAAAGATACGTTACATTATATATATATTATATATATATATATCTTTAAGGAGAGCACATCCTTGGTTAGAAACCTCTGGATCCATGGGTTAGTTCTCAAGGGCAAGGACCTATACCTGTCTTTTACTCCTCTCCAGCACCTGACATCATAGTGCAATGCACAGCAGTGTCACCCCAAGGATGCTGAATGAACAAAGAATGAGTGAATGCATGAATGCTCACTAATACTTATTGAGTACCTTTATGGAGTACCTGGTTCCCTAACCCGAACAACCTTATCAACCTCCTCTCTGATGCAGAAAGTCCAAGAGCAAAAGCTCCCTGAATTGTTCTTAGTTTTCTTTCATCTTCCATCTAAAAACCTTCCTTAGAAGAAACCACTCTGTTGACAGATATCTAGTTCTTTGAAAACAGTGAAACCACTTCTTTTGTTTTCCCTGAAACGGGCTTCCTTCCTGTTTCACTTTCAGAGGCAAGGCTACAAGAACATGAATGGAGGATATTGTATGCTTTCTCTGTGTCCTTGTGTTCAACCTGTTCTCATAAAATGAATGATTGTTGCAACTTTCTGAGTGGGTGTTTGTTTGTTGTTTGTTTTTTAATGTTAAACGTTAATGTTTAATGTCTTATATTATTTGAGGCAGAGCTGAAGAGAAAAATACATTTGGGTTGATGTGGATAAGATTTCACTGTTCGTATTCATTCTTTCATTCTATTAGAAACCAACCACTTAATCCCTGCCGTAAATTCCTTCATTTAGTGACATTTGTTAAGTGCTTTATGACTCATTCCAGCCCTACTTTGCCAACCTTCCCTCCCACCACTCTCATCATGACCTTCTGAATTAATTGTAGTTCCCTAAATTGTCAAATTATACTACCCTTCCCCTTATGTCTATTTTTGGGGCATCAACTGGCAGATTCATTTCATCTGGATGAAGTATCACCTCCTCTAGAAGATGAAATCCCACAATACCTATCCCAAAGTGAATCGCGTGCCCCTCCTGAACATTACCACCTCCATCCATCCATATCTGTAACATGGCACCTACACTGTAACTGTAATTATTGGCTTCTTTTCCCTCGCTCTACTAAACTCATTTTGTGAGAGTTCCTAATGGAAATATGGTGTCCATCTGTTTCCTGAGCACACAGCATAGTACCTGACACATAGGAATATACTCAGGTATTGGTTGAATGAATGAAAAAAAATAAAAGAAAATGAATTCCAAGAATGCTTGTGAAATAATTTCATAAGTGTAAGTGGTCATATGAATACAATAGGAGATGCAGGTTTCTGCTTCCCCCAAAATTATTTCCTTCCCCTTTTCTGCCTCAGAAAAACATAACAACAAAAGTCACTCATTCATTCATTTACTTGTTCAACAAACATTTTTGAGTGTGTACCAGGTACAATCCTAAACACTGATTCAGAGAGAAAGTGACATATCAGCAGAGTCATGGATGCTCACCCAACCTCTAGTCCTTTTCCTGAACACAAAGTTAAACTACTTTGTCCATTCCCCTTACATGTAGGTAAGGCCATGTGACCAGTTCTTACCAGTAGAATTTGAGCAGAGGTAGAGTTTCACTTCTGGGTCCAATCAAAAGCTGGTGAGCCTTCCCCCTATTCCCTCACTCTTCCCGTTCCTTGGCCACCTTGAACCACCGAAACTGAAGACTTGACCAGGTAGAAAAAGTCCAGGTCTCTGTTTGACTTCATGGAACAAAGTTTCCCTCAACTATTAACCCACTAATCTTGATTGGATTGTGATGTGAGTGAAAAATAAACTTTATTGGGTGAACGACTAACATTTAGGAATTTTTTGCCCCCAGCAGCTAGCTTTACTTTATGATTAAAACTGTCATAAATAATGACATATAGATTACTTAAAACACTAGAAAATGTCTGCTGCTCTAAACATTGTGTGAGAGACGTGAGACATGGAAATTTATCAAAGAAGGTATTAATGCCTTTGAGACCTTAAATTTGTCCCAAGTGGATAAAGAAAAATCTATATAGATACACATCTCTTTGTTCCCTCTCTCAGGCGGCTACCTGGTCAAAAGTGCTGACATCTTGTCCTGAAAGCAAGCACAGAGTCACCATCACACCATATTTACCAGCCCTTGCCCATCTCTCATGCACTTTGAAGGATTTCCCTGAGCGAGCTTCCGGAGGTCCAGTGTCACTCAAAGTAGGGGATAGACTGAGGAGAGATAGAAAATAAGAGTGAGAAGATAGGTTCGGAAGTCCTTGAATATCTTACTAAGGAGTTTGTGTATCAATTTTCACAACACATATTGAATAAGTTAAGGAATATTTGTGATTGGATGAGTTTTTTCTTTTCCTTCTCTCATCTTCTTTCCTGGATGGCTGATACCCACTAAAGCTAAGGTAACAGTGGGAAAATGGCTGATCATAGATGCTCCACCATGAGACCTAATCATGATAACTGTTTCTTTTCTCCATGCCCTCACCCCAAAACCACAAAGCCCATCCTCCTCCTCCAAGCCCCATTAATCAGTGAAACTTCATAGCATCTAAAGACTGACAGTATCATGGAGGCCTAAATGAAAAACATTCAGTCCCTAGGGATGGAGAAAAGAGCCCCAGTGGGATGAAAGAAAAGTAATAAAAGAGGAAGGAAGAGAGAAGATTCAGGAAAAAAGAAACAAAAGAGGGTTTTCTATCAACCACAGAAACAACTCACCTAGGCTGGGAAACTGGTCCAAAGAGGATGAGAGACACACGGAGCACATCATGTGGAAGTGCCCCAGGAATCCAAGCACAGGCTCCCAGATTCATTGTAAAGAGCAAAGAAACATCCAAATCCCCACTTCCTGTGAACTCTGTATGGGTGGAAGAAATTATTCAAACCTGAAGAAAAAGACTCTTTTTTTCTGGGCTCCATGTACAATGGTTTAAACTGTGTCAACTTAAGCCAGAACTGAATTTCCCAAAATTTCTTTCCCTATATGGTTTTTATGTTAGATTGACCAAAAAGAGTTATTTGGACAAGACCTAGAAAACAGAAGTGAATCAGAGTCATTACTCTGAAGAGCCTCACAGTTACAGTGGCAGACAAACACAGAGATGCTGGCACATTCTAGCCCGCCCTTGCCCTATATGCTTAGTTCTTCTTCCTAACTGTCCTGCTGGCTACCAGACGCCCCGGCCCACATCCAAAACTTGGATGAAGATAAACAGGAGTGACAGCTGTCCATAGACTTTTCCACAGCTCTCCTTATGGATCATTTTCAAGCAACTAGATGTACCTGGCTTCCTAGATGCATTGCAATTTCTGACCCTACAAGTTCGCCTGCATTAGGTCTTCACGGAGGCTGGTTAGTGACTTTTCTCTGATCCTTCAATCCCACTTTCAGACCTTTCCTTTCCCAGTTCTCCCACAATTCTGTTAAGATCTTACTCTATCAGAAATATTCTAGTGGTTCTGTTGGTCTTACTGAAGCCCCTCTGACTTGCTGTGTATGGACTTGGCTGCCTGCCCAACAGGAACCTTATGTGGATTGTGCCTCTCTTCCCCTGCACTACGAAAGGAGAAGTACCAGATGTGTATATAGGAATTATAGAAATCTGGGCAAAAATTATACCTTGGTAGAAGTCTCCCTGAGAGTGTATGGCTAGTTAGTTTCCCATTGGCTTTGTAGTGTGAATTTAGCATAGTATGGAAACTGACTCTCAGCTGTTCAAGTTTAGAAATTTGCTTTTTCTCCCCTGTAGCAGACTAAGTCAAACTCTGTTGAAGAAGAAGATTCAGTCAGGCTCACTAGAGAGTGATGTAGACAACAGGGTCTATTAATATTAATAGAATCTGTCTAAGCATGAGAAATAAAACTAGTGTAGGTCCCAGACATTTATATCTTATGGTCAACACACTACACCCTGCAGAAACAGTCGTACAGGAAGCTAAATGATAATCAGAAGGTTTCCTGGGGAGGGATATGGAACCAAAGTTAGAAGAGTTAGGAGGAATATTGAGTTATTAATAGCATCAAGTCATTAGAGCCACCGCAAATGCCACAGAACCGACTGACCTATCACAGTTGCAGATAAGCTATGTGGTTCCACTCACCAAGGGTACAATCCTAGTGGTAGGCCTTCTTCTCTGTGGTAAATTACAGTATTTGCCTCAGTTCTTCATCCCTCATTGTATCCAGACCCTTTGCAAAGACTTTGAAGTTACTTCCACTCAAACAGTAGGTATATTTCCCTGCCACTTAATTATGGGTCCAGCCATTTGACTTGCTTTGGCCAATAGAATGAGATGGAAGGAACAGCGCTAAGGTTCAGAGTTTAGACCTCACACGATTCTGCTTGCCCTCTGGTCCTTCTGCCAGTACCATGAGGAGATTTTGCCTGGGCCCGCCAGTTGGTCCAATGAGGACGAGGGACAGAGAGCAGAACTGTCCCACATAAACCCAGATTAGATGAACTTATCCCAGCTGACCAGCAAGTGAGAAATAATAGATGATTGTCATTTTATGTCATGGTTTTGGGGACCATTTGTTACATAGCAACCTGACATACCTTCCAACCATGATTTTCTGGGATGGGATGAAGGAGGTGCCAGGCTGAGGAAACCTGCCAGCATTTCTGTGTTTTACCCCATCTTGGTCCCGGAGTTCAGAGCAGTGCCCAGGGTTCCCCTCCCAAGTCACAAGGGGGCACCAGTTCGGCCAATGGTAAATGAGAGGATTCGGCTTCGCAATCTCAGTAAAATTCTGACATTTTCTATTCTTTTGGTTAAATGTAAAATCTATTTGTACAAGCAGAGGAAAGAAAGATTTATTTAAAAAAAAAAACTCTTCAGAAGGCTACTCTGAATATGAATGGTTATTTACAAATGCAACTCAAAATCACTGTTTGACATAAAATTTGAAGCTTATCAAGTGGGATTTTTGCTTTCATCAGAGTTTTAGGAAAACTCAGACACCCAGAAAAATCCCCAGGTCGTTTAGGTTGCCAAGACTTTCTTCCCCTCTCTTTAAATCTGCTCCAAGTCTATAAGGAGAATCTATGAGTAAATGGGGTTGGCAGAGGAAGCAAATATCCAAAGACATATTTTTAGGACAATTGCATCTTAATTTGTCAGCTTGAAGTATGCATTGATGTTTATAGGAATTAGAAGCATTGGTGGGGGGGGGGGTCTCAAAACCCTTTTCATCCTATTTTTTCAGACATTCCTATGCTCCCTGCCTTTCACTAGCTTCCCCTATCCTTCTAGTTTACGAGAGGACTGGTGATGTTGAGGTATTTCTTGAGGAAATGTGGGAAATGTTCTGCAATCCATTTCCTATTTGATGGGGCTTCACTCACCAGAAGAAAACAACAATGCACACACACTTTCAGCACAACTGGACAGCAGCCCCATGTACTGGTGTTTAAAGAGCCAGCTGTGAGGTGACAGCACTCAAGGGACAGGACAGGGTCTGGGAGACCAGTGAAGCATACCCTTCCATTCCTGAAAAAACATACCCTCAGGAAACTATTTGGTGTTTCCTGCAAAACATGAACTTGTTTGGCAGCCTGACAAACTCATCACCCCTGTTCATCTCATACCACATGCCTGATTGATAACAATAACTAGACCGAGAACATAGTGAATACAACTTCCACAGAAAAGCACACAAGGGGAGACAAGCAACACCCCTCCCAAACAACCACGCATGCACACACACCCACATACTCACCCCACCCAAACACGCAAAGCCATTTTTAAAATGTTGAGAAATAAAAAAATGCCTCAATCAAACCATTTTACATTTCTGGGAATAAATTACTTCCCTCTCCCATTCAACAATGTTTGGAATAATAATAGTTTCCATTTTCCACTGACCCATTATATGCCAAGCACTGTGGTAATGGTCCACATATACACACACTTATTTTAACTCTTGCAACACCCCTGCAGAGTAGGTTAGATGTAAACTTTACAGACAAGTAGACTTTAATTAACAGATAAGTAACTTTTCCAAGATCACAAAGAAGCGGTCAAGGAGTCAGGATTTGAACAAGGCTGTGTGTGACTAAAGGTTAAGCGCCTTTCACTACATTGCAGGCTTGGTCAGTTAAGTGTAAAACCCAGAAACAGGAGTTGTTACACAAATCTAATTCATTACTCAAGGCCAACTGAAATCACCATCTCTTCTATGAATTCTTGTTCTAGATAGAGCTCTGATGATTACAAGCAACAGAAACTGACTCAAATTAATTCCAGTAGTCTAGTCCTGGCCCTGATCTGGGTAAAAGAGCAATGGAAAACTATATGAATTCAGGAATCTCTGACCAAGCGGGTCTCCGAAAGTCCAGACACCCTTCCGCCTCTCATCTCATGGAGACTGCTTCTTTCTACACACCGGCACATCCCATCCAACTTCTTTGAGTCTCTAATCCCTCATAACTGCCGTGGATACATGATTTCACAATGATTTCCTTGATGACAAATCTACGAGACCTTTGAGCTCAGGGCCTACCACCTAAGAGAAGTAACTGCTTCTCCCTTTCCAAATTCCAGAAATCTGACAGGCTTGTCTCATACTTTCACACACAAAGCACAGGTTGTTGGTTGGTTTATACTTGCAGCACCCCTGAGTCAGATGTTCACCCTGGTCCCACCAGAAGTAGCTAGGGAAGGCAAGATCAATCAAGCATCTGCGGCAGCTTCTGAGTGGGGAAGCGCCCTGCAACCCAGTAAGTGCTCAGTTCTCATCCACATCCCTTTTCTTTAGAAGCTTGGCTTATACACCCAGCTTAGCACTTAATTTTAAGTTGCTTTCCAATTGCCTATTTTCTAGGTTCCTAGAGAACCATATCTCATCGTCATTATATCTGCACTGCCTAGTGGAGTGCTGAGAACACAGTGGATGCTTAAAGATGATTTGATTTATTAGAGATCATCATGGGGCAGGACAATGCAGATGATCAAGAAGAATGTCTTTATTCCTTCCCCCACAAAGACCATCAGAACTAGAAAGAGAATACCAAATGTAATCACAAGTCTTTAACCTCACTGGCTTAGCTACAGTGTATGTGGAAAAGAAAAAGAATCTGACCCTGAGCGCACAAACTCTAAGGTTCCTTCCAACTCTAACCAAAAGAGGCATCCAAGCCAACAGCTCTCAGGGTGGAATGATGCTCCCAGGTTCCATGTCTTGGCTCTGAGAAGTCTACCAGAATTAAAATAAATGACTCATGTAAGCGGTAAGCTTGATTCTGCTCTGATTTGCAAAGAAACAAACAAATAAATAATTTCAAAGCCTTGGTATAAATTGCTAGTAACAAATTACTGGAAACCACACTACAACTGACATTGTGATTTATCACTGATGTTTTCCTTCCCTTTGCCCTCTTCTAGATTATATAAACTTCTTCCTAAATCTAGGTCTCTCCTCTTTGTAAAACAGTTGCCGGGGGGCAATCAGACCTTCGTCCTTCAAATCAGCTCAGGGGGATAGAATGAATTCCCCTGAGCCTCTCTTGAGAGAGACACTTTTCTAGAAGCCATCAAACCTCTCTTCATATCTCTTTGGCCAGAACTGGGTCACCTGCTCACTCTTTTTCTTCTCTCATAATTTTATTGGTATCAATATATAGAAACATGAATTGCTGTGATTATTATCTAAAGGTAGGGAATTCCAGGTTGCTGTCATGCTGTGCTGGTGGGAAGGTGCTCCCCTCAAGTTATGAGAGGTCCTAGGGTCCTATCCAGAGTGGAACATTAAGGGAGGACTCTTTGGTTTGGGTTGAACACATCAATACCTTCACTGTGCAAGATGACACAGGCCCTGGAGTGCTCTCATCCCAAGCTTTTTACATTTAGGCTTTTGATGAATGTTCTTTTATATTTCCATTTATTATTTATTCCAGTTATAATAAAACAAAAACAACAAGAAATATAGATGCAAAACTAATTCACATCCAAAATTCCATGACAGTAGTGGTTTATGAATTTGATTTGAGGGCCCATACACATGCTCATTCTTGAACCCACAACTGGCAAAGAGGATGAGATAACATTCTGGCAAATCAAGCCTACCAGTTAAGTTGAGATCAGCCGCTCAAAGCACATTGCTACTCTATATAGGATGGAATGGATGTTGGGAAAGCCATTTCACTGCTCTAAGACATTTGAAAAGAGGGTTAAGTAAAAGAAAATCCTCAGGCTGTGACCCACCTGAGCATATGATAACTAGGAGCAGATTCACAGGGTTGCCCTGAGTAAGCAATACAGGATCTAGCTTTGCATAAACTATGAAGGAAATAAAGTCTCCTTTCAAAACCCATTGACTCTGAACTTTTCCTGTATCCCTTTTTCTGGCATCTTACATTTCTATCACCTGTCTCATCATCACCAGCCATCTGCATATTTACACATGCTCTCTGTCAAAGGTTGGCCTAGTGGGAAAAAAACACACTATTCCATTAACTTTAGTCCAATTTCCCTCAAAAGAATGACCCCTGACATAGGAAAGGGTTGATGCCATTTTTTGTTCTGATGAAACAATTAAGGCTTTATGGTTTGGACAGATCACTTCTCCCTGGATCTATCTACTTACATGAAAAATGGTAAAAGTACCAGAAGATTAATAATCTTTCTGGATTCGGGAGTTTCTGGATTTTGCCTCCTACCTTCTCCAAGATGACTTTAGCCATGCCTGGAAATCAGTGCAGCGTCATGCTACATGCTCAGTTCTTGTCACGGTCACCATCTGCCCATCCTTCACTCGTTTGCTTTCACTGCTGTGGGCCATCTCCAAATTCTGCCTTCCTTCTTCACTTCCAGGACTGGAGAAAAGTAACAAGGATTCCTTAACTTTTCCACATGGAGTCCTCCGGCTCATGCCTTTGGCATTGCGCTGACCCCTTTAAACACAGCACAAGATCATGATGAAATTCAGCAATTATTTCACTTCCAAACATTTAATAGGATATTTCTTGAAAAATACATTCTTATGGATTAATTTAGGATGCTCAAAGTAGCCATCTGTTTACAGTCTGATCATAATAACCACTCCTTTCTCCACTCCAGATTGCAGTGGATGCTATATTCTCCCATGATTTCACTCCCCTAGTTGATTGGTTCATGAGAAGGTATCTGACCCAAGAAGGGGCAATCAGAATCCTCCAGAATTTTTTTCCCACTATCACCAGGAAAGAACAGTCAGTCCTCTTTTGAGTAATAGAAGACATGTTGGTGGCCATATCTCCAGTGGAGAAGACGTCAATATATAATAAAGGAGAATGAAGTTGATATGCTGAAAGAATTGAAGATAAGAGATTATATGAAGTTCCAAAGGCAACAGATGTGTTGGTTCCACTCAGTCTTGAGGGAAAATGCACCGTTTTTCATTGTACTAGGACATAAGCCACACCAGTTATAAACCCATAAATTACATATTTTGTCTAAGTTAATACTTGCTTAATTTCTCTCACTCAAACACAAGAGATTTGATATGTGTTCTCAGAAAACTAGGTCCCCACAAAATTTGGAACTGAGTCTTTGGCATTTTCATTTTGATTATGATTTACACACTTTTTCATTTTTTAAGTGCTTGCCTCTCAGTGTTTGTTTATGGCATGGAATACTGGGGGTTTGGGGGAGAATAGGATTTAGAGGCAGAAAGTCTGAATTTAAATACTGACTTCAATATTTCTTCTGCGACAGTTCAAGAGCCTCCCTGAGCCTCAATCTCTTTCCTGCAAGGTAGGTATAATAATCTTTGCTTTCTCAGGGTCATTTTGATGATCAAAATAAGAAAATGAGGAAGAACAAGGCCATATCTTTGCACTCCTAATATCTATCATAAGTCCTGGGGCAGTGGTGGAGATACCAAACAAATATTTGATAAATGAAAGAAAAACATAATAAAGCATTTATATACATTAAAGCACTACTTAAATGTGAATTAATATGGTTAAGACCACTTCACAATAATGGAATGTATATAAAGATTTATATTGGCAGATTAAGTTGGTCTTGGGCTGAATGATAATTTCAGTGTTTTGAACAAAACTTCCATAAATAAAGAGGTGAAGTGAATGGACCTTGTGTCCAATACCCCCTCCACCCTCTCTCTGGTTATTCCCCCTCTGTTTGGTCCAGACAGTATCAAAGTATCTCTGGCCTTAAGTTCTAAAAATGGCGATTGCTCTGGAGCTGTTGGACGCCATTGCAAAAGCTTCCGGGTGGAGGTGATGGTGAAGAAATAGATTATTAGTGATCTAAGGCTCTTTCACTTATAATTAGCACATAAACTTACCTCTCCCTTTGAAGCATCATCACAGTGAAGGCTTCCACAGAACTGTCAGAATGCAAATTGCCCATTTGTGACTCCTTTTTCCCTTCCTAAATGCCCATGTAAAATTATACAGAGGAGACATGAGGACTTAAGGCGTACAGTTGCCTGGAGCCAGTCAGTGTGGAGGCGCACACATCTACACACTGTCTTATAACACAGCAGAGTGTAGCCACCAATATTTATGATGATAATCCTGCATCACTAAGTAAAACTTTACACTTGGTAGTCTGGCTACCAAGACCAGAAAGTGGTCAATGTTTTACTTAAAAATCTATCAAAATGACTAAAATTATTTTAAAGGCTTGGTACTTCAAAATGTGTATCCTGAATTATCAGAAACATTTCCCCAAATCATTTGTTTTCCAACGATTCAAGAGAGCCTCAGTTTTCAGGTATCATCGCTCATTCAATGGCTCAGTAAGTTAGTTACAGATACTAGATCCCCAAAATGTAAGCCCTGGAGGGCTTGGAGTGGAGGACTGACATGAACTGATTTAACATTTACATGGACCACGCCAGCTGTTGGGTTAAGAAGAGACTGAAGGAGCAAAGCGGGAAGCAGAGAGTGGCTAGTCACCCTGGCAGAGGGGAGGGTGGCTGGGATCAAGGTGATGGGTGTGAGGGTTAAATGGTGTAGCATATGCAGAGAAACAGCATGCCGATTGGCACAGTCTGTCCCCAGTATGTGCTGTCTATTAATATTACTGCATTCTGAACCCTAAAACTCCACATTAAATGGTTGGTTGATTGAATGGCAGAACCAGGTGAGTAATTATAAATTAGAGAGTCAATGTCAGGATTAGAAAAGGACCTTTTTGAACATTTCTGCATAGATCAACTGAGACAAAAGGAAACTGAGTCAAAACTAAAGAGTTCACGCTCCCCCTCATTGAACTGGCTGCTTGGATTGTTTCTAAAAATTACACACACACACACAAAAAAACCCTGTGATCAAAAAGGTAGCTGAAATACTTCAATTGCCCAGAATCCAGCCTGTCTTTGCAACACTCCTAGATATTAAAAATCATTTCTATGGTTTTAACATGTTTTGGTTTAACAAGCACAAGAGGCTATGAACTCCATTATCTGAAGAAAACGTGTTAAACATCTGGGATCTGGCATCAGTTTCTCCTGTGGGATGCATTGTTTGCGCAAATTTCTATTGAATAAAAAAAAAATAAGGACTAAGTTTCAAAATATCCGTGTAACCTAGTAAGAATATTTCTCTGAAACCAGAGTCAAAACAAAAAGCTCTTCAAACCAATTTATAAGCTTAATTTAAAATCAGGCTAGAGGTCGGTTCTTAAAAAAGAGTGATGTCTCAATGGAATCAAGCTGAAGTATTCAGAGCTCTTGCTCTAACAAGAAGATGGCGAGTCTAAACTAAGTGAATCTTTCCAGGCTAAAGGCTGCAGCTCACAACCATTCTAAAAAAGGCCATGTCATTTGCAGAAAGGGCACAGACCTGTGGTTTAGGGCACACTCTGTCATTTAAACGCACTTGATGTTGGGCAATTTACCTTACCTCTGGACTTGACTTTCCTTATTTCCTATTTTAAAAAACTGGAAAGAAAAATACAGCCCCACAGGTCTTTATAAATTTATAAGCATTAAATAAAAGAATGATAAGGGGGATAATACTTGTAAAAGTTCTACAAATACAGGCACATAGCAGATGAGGAAACGCAGAGAGGGAGGAGGAGGAAGTAGGATGTAAGAGATCATTATTAGAAGATAGGATAAATCAACAAGCTGAACAGTTTTTAAAGAAGAAAAGCTAAGGCTGGTCTTCTGGAGTGCTTCTCAAGGACTGGGACAACCTCTTCTATTCTTTTAGTGCCCAGGGCATCTTGTCTAGTGACTTGCGGATGGAGGGTCCCTCTCAAGTTCTACAGTCCATACCGAGAGAGCTCCAAGGGGTAGCGTGCTGGTAAAGGAAACTGCCCCTTGTCTCTGGCAGGCTGAAGGACAGGAGGAAGAAAAGGAATGGGGTCAGGAATTTTCTTTAAGCCACATATCTCTTTTGAGAAGAGCTGCTAGTGCCTGCAAAGTATTTTTGTGTGGTTGAGCATCTAGAAGGGCTTTGGCCTGAATGGTGGCTAGGGACTGAGGTTCAGTGTAGGAGTTCTTCATGAGAGGAAGATGAAGTTGGAGTTTAGGGACACTGTAGGAAGGAGGATGCAAGTTGAGCATGGGAGAGGGAGCCAGCGAGACAGCAGGAATGGAGAACTGAAATGGAAACTCCTCTCTGTCCCACCCTCCACTCTCAAACCCTTCGTAAGGTTGACTACATACCCAAGTGAAAACAGTGTTGTATTAGTCTCCTAGGGATGCTATAACAAAGTGCCACAAACTTGGCTTAAAACAACAGAATTTTTTTTCTCCCACAGTTCTGCAGGCTGCAAAATCAGCGTGTCAGCAAGGCTGTGCTGCTTTTGAGCTTGCTTCTCCTGAGCTTCCTGTGGGTCCTGGAAATCTCTGGTGTTCTTTGGTTTTAGCTGCACCATTACAACTCCACTTCTGTCTTCACCTGGGCTTCTTTCTCCCTGTTTCTTTTGTGACCTCTATTTTTCCTATGAGGACATCAGGCATTGGATTAGGGCTCCCCCTGTTCCAATATGACTTCATCTTAACTTGATTAATTACATATCCAAAGACCCTATCTCACATAAGGTCACATTCTAATGTTCTGGGTGAACAAAAATTTTGGCAGGACACTATTCAGTCCACTACAGTGTTCTTCCATCTTGTTTTTGTAGAAATCAAGCAAGAGGCAGTTTCATGGGAGAGCCAACCGGCAAGGGATTGGAGAGGTGGAAGGTTGGTAGTGAAATGGCCTATGAACCAAGCAAATTCAAGGGAAGTTCAGAGTTGGGAGTCAGAGGTGACCATGAAAATAAAAGCCCCCTATACCTCCCATGGGAATGCTCAAAAATGTGGCAGGATCTGGAATTCTATAGAGCATGGAGTGAAGAATTCAAGGCAGTGTTATCTAGATTTCATAGGCCAGGAGACTACAGCTGACTTCCGTGTTGTCAAAAAAAAGAAAGTCACCTAGGAAAGGGAAGACAGAGGTGGAGCAGAAGGAAGAACAAAAAGACAAAGGTCAGGGAGATGAGTAAGGAAGACAGGTGAGTTTTGAAGGGAAACCAAGGAGAAAGAAAGCACAGGCTCTTCAGAGTCAGGGCTAAGGATCTCTCCCAAGACCTGGTATATCAAAAATACTCAAGGTCAGTTTAGGGAAGAAAGAAAAGATGAGAGGGAGGGGAGAAGAGGGAGAGGTGTGCATGGTATGCCCCCTGTAGTGTCACCAAACATTGCCTCCAATGCCACCCAGCACTGTTCATACCATGGCTGCTTGCTAATGAGCCTAATTAACTTTAAAGACCAGAGCACCATGGGGAACCCCTTTCTGCTTCTCCCTCTGTGTCACAGTCTTTAGACTGAAGGGGCAGCCATCCATTTTCTATCCCTCCTTCTCCAATGATGCATATTCTACCTCAACTCTAATTTGAGTTGCTACACACCTCTGGCCTTTCTGTGGTTTCTGCTGTCCCTCATAGTGTCAAAGTTTACCTCATTGAACCCCCATGAAAGGACACCAAAGTGGTCTCAATTCGTGAATGTCCTTCCACACAAAAGGGCAAGGAGAGCTCTGTGGCTTAAGCAACTAGCTTTCAGGTGATTTGAAATACAAGCAGTTGAAATATTTAGAACTGGAAAGATTCTGTGGTTTAAGGGAAAGAGAGCTGGACCAGAAATCAAGAGACCTATATGCCAATCTACCACTTGGTTACCTGGAGCTAGTCAATCCCCCAGCCCCAGCCCCAGCTTCCTCATTGTAAACAAGGTAATCAGAACTCACGACATAATTCCGAAATTTTTAAAGATCTGTATAGTCTATATGGAAGCATTACCAATAAAATTCAATTAACTTAACCACCTCCCTGGTACATCTATAGTATGTCAAAGAGTGAAAATGTTGCTAGAAACCACATTCCCAGGTTTTAGAAAGTGGAGATAAAATGGGCCTGATTTCAAGTCTCTCTAACGTGAAATGAGAAGGGAATCGTAGAATGTGTGCTGAGGGAAGTGAGGCCACTTTGGTCCTCCAAGTTCCAGCAAGTCTTTACAAACTGAGTCATGGCCCAGGTGAATGGCTTACATATTTAGAATATTAAGGTGAAGAAAGGCATGGGGCAATTGCTGGTTGCTAGGGCAACAGGGAAGAAAAGCACCAAGTGTTTCCACACACTTCGTCTTGTTTTTCAAAACAACAAGAAAGGATTATTATCTCTCTTACCAGATGAGGAAAGCGAGGTTCACAAAATCCAACAACTTATTCCAGGTCATAAACTACTAAGTGGGAGAACGGGGACCCAAATCCAGGTCTGTTAAGCTCCAATCTTGGTGTTCCTTCTGCCTCACCAGATTGGCACTATTACAGCCAGTTATCTGAGCCAGAAAAAATTCTTATAAAGTACCTGAGTGGTGCCCAGCTCCCGTTTTCATCCTCCAGTAAAAAGAATGCTGGCATGCTTTTGAGTTGAGAATAATGGCTACTTGGCCAGGGGCCAGAGCAAAGGATTGTTAGACTAGGGATTCTTAACCAGATCAGAGGGAACAGTCTAGACACTTGATAAAAATTTGTTGAGGAGTGGAATGAAAACAGGATTCAGAGTTAAAATTTTCTGCTGGTTACAAAACAAGGATCTGAGGCTCAGAGAGGCCATGTGACAGGAAAAGATCTCTCTTTTTCCAGAGAGAGCTGGATAAAGAACCAAAGATGGCTAGACTTCCAGACTAGAGAACTTCCCACCACATCACCATCATTCCTAAGGCCAACAGAATTTTTCCTATACATTTAATTAACTGCAGTATACTTTGGGGGAAAAATGAATGCTAACCCCCAACCAAGAACATTTATTTGCCTAATGGGATAATTAGAAAATGACTCCATTGTTTCAGGAAGCTGGTAGACAGCATGGTTAATGCAATTTTCAGTTTTCTTATGAGGCTATGAGTCATTTTTGTTTATTTTAGCATTCTTTCCACGTGTGTGGTATGTGCTAACCATAATCACTGGGGAGAGGAGCCCCATCGCTCACTCAGGAAGCAAGTGACTGACTCTGTGTGCATGACCGCCTTCATGAGTGTTTTCCATCATCCAGATCACAGACTGAGGCATCCAGATCCAGAGAAGCCTCAGATTTCTCACCCCCGGGCACCACCTCTTTTGTATCCCCATCTGTAAACCTCTTCTCACAAGAACCCCCAGAGCTTATTCTCTAGCAGTAAACCCTCTCCTTCAAAATGCATTTCTCACCATCTTCAGAATACCTCCACCTGGATGTCTTAGTCATCGCAAATTCAGCATACCCTCTCTGTCCAAGGGTATCTAACTGTGTTACGCATTTTACTGTATGTAAATTATACCTCAACACACCTTTTTTTAAAGTAGCAAGTTTAAAATGGAATTCATCTTTCTCCACTACCAAAACTTCTCCTGAGGTAGTTAGTTCAGTTCAGAGGTTCCCTTAGCTCCCTAAGCCCCCGCACCCAATAAAGCACCAAGACCCCATGACCCTGCCTTCTCCAGTCCTCTTGAAGCTTTCCCCAGCTCTCCATTTCCTCTTGTCAATTCCCATCATCACATTCACTCTAGTGGCACTGACCACCCACTTGTGCCAGGCACTATGCTAGCCCTTACATCTTTAGTGATGAGCAGCACATACATAAGGTCTTGAGGAAGTCTGCGTTCCAGAACTCCATGTGGTAACTACAACCACAGAAACACAGGTAACACAGAAGGAGCCTTTAGCTCTACCCAGGAGTAGGAGGGGAGTGGGCAGCATGGTTGGAAGAGGCCAGGGATGGGTGTGGACAGCTTCCAGAGGAGCTGACCTCTGAGGGGAATGTTCACAGATGAATAGGTGTTTGCCAAGAGGGCAAAGAGAAAACTGCCAATGAGAAGAACTCTAGCAAGAACAGCTGGAGGGAATATATAAGCCTTTCAGGTTTGGGGGAGTTTGTTTGCTTGAGGAGTTGTGGTAAAGGAGGGGAAAGTGGTAGGAGCTGGAGCTGGATAAGTAGGCAAGAACCAGGTCATGGAAAGCTTTGTCAATCATGTTCAGGAGTTTGAACCTCAGATACGGGCAGAGGAGATGTCAGTAGAGTTTTAAGCAAGGAACTAGTCAGCTTTACTTTTTAGAAAAGTCAGTTGAGAGATAATGTTCTCTTATGTGAACAATTGTAATATTTATCTTGACTCCCATCTCTTCCAGCTCCATATACCATTTCCAAAGTGATTTTCCTATAAATAAGACCAAGTCCCTTCCCTAACTAAAAAGCAAAACAAAATAAAATAAAAATCCTACCATACCTCCTCATAGCAGACAGAAACAATTCCCAAACTCTAAGGAAAATTGTTCCTGAAAATCATGATAGTTGTCCTAGAGGGGGGACACATATTCCTTGAAAATAATTTTGACTAACTTTTGTACAAAATTAAAGATTTCCTTTTCTTTGCAGGACTTCTCAGAGCCTTTAACTTTCTAATGTCAGTTGTGAATCTTCAAAAAGGGGATTGAGAATTTAGATTCCCCAATCTATGAATCTATGAATCAATACATGAACTCTTTGATCTTGGAACACTGGTTAGCATCTCCAGGGCTTGGTGTTTGTGAAATGATGGCCTCCACAATAAAGTCCAAACTCAGTTATATGAACAGGGACATAAATAATCTGACCTCAGCTTCCACTGCTCCCTGCCATATACATGCATCTGCATCCTCTGCTCCAACCACCTTGGTCTTCTCAGTGCCCTTCCCTTCCTATGTTCGAGGAATTTTTGGTCATTCTTTAAGCCATAGCCAAATATCAACTCCACTGTGAATAAGTGGTGTATGGGTGAAGGTTGCAAGGATATTGGTTTGAATAAGGCTACTGTCCATAAAACCACACTATGTACTGTTTGGAATAGGTTGGATGAAGAATTCTGTAATCTGTGAATCCATGAAGAATGCTGGACTATGTTTTACAAAGCAAGGTAAGGGTTATTTGTTACTGCCAGAGACCCCGATCTCTGAGACTGTGCACTGTCTTGTATTTAAAGGAACTCCAGTTTTTTCCCAGCCTCTGCACTCCAGATTACATGGAGAATATAGGCACTAAGTCAAGCCACTAGATGCTGTGATGGACTAGGGACAAAGAGAGTGCTGGAAAGATTGTTTAAAGTGCATTTCTGGGAATGAGTGGGAGGTAGCCTGGCTCCTGGATGAGAGGTGCTGGAATGAAGGAAGTCGTCCCTAGAATGGAGAGACTGGAGGTCAAAGAAACCCTGAGGATGAAGCTTCATGAAGAACAGCCCCAAAGACCTAGGGTCAGGTCACTGGATAAAGACACTTTCTGCTTTGAGCAGAGACAGCAGGAGGAGACTGAAAAAAAGGAAGCTCTGGCTTTGCTCAGGAAGGGACGTTCTGGAGGCTGGGGAGAGGGCCCGTGTGCTTGGAAAAGAGAAAAAGAGGAGCCGGTGGTAAAAGGTAAAACTCTGTAAAAGCCATCTTTGTGTGTTGCCCCTGGACCGCCCTGGGCTTTCACTGGATCGAACCTAGCCCCGCTTCCTTCTGACTTTGGGATGGAGATCAGGTGGCAGGGCTCGGGGAGCAGGGCAGAGAGGAGAAGAGGAGAGAGAAGAGAGAAAAGGGAAGAAGAGCGAGGGGGAAGGCAGGGGCAAAGGGTTCTCCCACACCTGTGACTTACGAGCAAATCAAAGAAACAGGAGGTGCAAGAGAAGCGGCTGCGTCTCCGTCTGGCTCCTCCTCTGTCCCACCTGGGCCTTCAGTAGGCCGTAGGAGAACCAGCAAAGGAGGGGAGTGGTGCTGAGTGAAACCTGGTGAAAATTAAGAAGAGAGCAGTCTTGAGGCATCTCCTTAAAGGGAAGCATACAGCCGGAGGCAATGCCTGTAAAGAGCAGGGTACTTGCCAGCTGAGCGCTAGCGACCCCTGGCTCAGTATGAGCTGGAAGGAGCAGCGTCCTCTCGTCCCGGGCCTGCCCCACCTCCAGGACCTCCAAACAGGACACCCGAAGCTCTTCACCCCCTACTTGTGAAAAGTCCTGATTTTTATAATGACAAAGGCTGCCACAGAGTTCTTCTTAAATGGTACCGGAGACCCTACGCAAATAATACATTCCAAAGGTCCAACAGGAGACAAGGGGTTCTAGCTCCTCCCAGATGTGGGTAAATTCTGCGCTGAAAGGACCTTCCTGACTAAGGGTGGTTTCCCTGAAAGAAGTAGGTTATGGTCTTAATGGTGCCTTTGCACATAAAAACGCAGCGGGTTCTTGGCCCATAGGTCTGCTTTTCAGAAAGACTGGCAGGATGCTGGGTGGAAATGCCAGCCTTGAGGTGGAAATCTCCATAGCGTATTTTTCAGTGTGGAACTAGAAAAAAAAAAAAAAGTAAAATAAGACAAAACAAAAACTTGAGACTACAGATCACTATAAAGAGCTACATTATTTGCAAATCTCACAGCTCAGGTTTCACAATGGCTTTTTTGGTACAGTTTTTAGGAGAGGGGAATGTTACATCTCACAAATAAACCAGCAATCCATGCTCCTCTTTAAGGATAAATTGTAAGTGGCTTGTACACGAAAATGCAGACGAACTCAGGGCACTTGTTCTAAAGTATAGCAGCTGTCCTGTGATACAAACCAACTCTGGAACACCAAATGCACTCTGAGTACGAGGGTGGATGGTCAGCATGAGCAAAAAGGCTAAATTGAAACCAAAACAATCTTCTCCAGACAAAAACTACTTTAAAATGTCATTAAGCTGACCCTAAATCAATATTAGTGAATGATTTATCGAATCTTGTTAAACAGGTATCATAATGACCTTCGTGTTTGCCTCTACTTACAATTTACCCCTGCCTTCAGTTGACATTGTTGCTCAAGAGTATTCCAGATTCCTGAAACAAAAGTAATTTTAGTCACTGCCTTTCGCCACGCAGTCCCCCTGTCAGAGAGGACAGCAAAAATGGCGATTCAATAGATTGTTCCTGTGTTGACACCCATTTTCCCACCCTCCTGGCATATTTCACTGAGCTGCTGGCAAAGATTCATTATTAGGAAACACTAGCAAGTCACACGTTCTAACCGGAGGCTGTCATCACAACAAAAGCAACCAAAGTGATAAATCTTGCCTCAATCCATTCCCTTTGTCCTAAAGCCTCTTGGTTTTCTTTCTTTCTTTTTTTTTTAATATCTTTTAGTTGCTCAGGAATTCTAACAAGGAGATCAACCATCTGTTAAGTAAAGGCACTAAGAAATTTGAGGACAAAAATATCAAGAAGGCGCAATGTGTCTATTTGTTTTTAGTTGATGAGCATTGGCCAATTCCAGAATAACAAGGAGCTTTAGTAAATGTTTGCTTTCTTTTTCTAGAAAAGAAAACATTGCATTTCGAACTACAAAGTATGTCAACCTAACATTGATTTTGTGTTTTCCTTCAATGTATTTAGTAATTCTACATAGAAGCATTGTTGCAGGAGAAGAGATGGGAGGCCCTAGCCTTTAGGCCTCCACTGCAGAGGAAGGTCCTTGGCTACATGGAGGACAGAAATCCAACACAAGCCACGTACTGCACAAGGTAGATTTATTAAGAGGCACAGAACGTGCTGCAGCTCAAAGCAGACCGCTGCATAGACAGAAGAGCCGCTCCCTGGTGGTCTGTCCTCTCTTTTGTTGGAAGTACAACCAGAATGTAAAGCTGGGGGCAGAATGGTCATGATTTCTCTGGGGAGAATTCTAGAAGAGGAGGTGCTTCTCTTTATCAGTCTCTTCTTGGGATTGTCATGACAACTGTAAACTGTCAGGGCGCTGATCGGCACGAAATTTCACTACGTAAATGAGATTTTAATGAAGGAAGAGGTCTATTCTCTGTCCTGCTGGGCTCCATCTCGGTTTGGCCTCTTCCAGCGAGTTTCTCAGGTCACGCTGCCCATTGTTTCTGCGTCCAGCCAGTCCAGTCAGCTCAGCCCCTCCATCTGCCCCACCTTGCCATTTCCCCCTCCCACCTCAGCATCTTTTTCTAGATTTCAAATGTGTCTAAGGATACTCACAACAATTTCTGTTGTGTACAGATGTCTTAACAATTATTAAAATCAAACCAAAATAATTTTGTTCGCACTACTAAGATGCACCTATCACACTGTATTCCAGTTTCATCTCCCAGGCTGCATGAACCCTTGGAAAAATATCAGTGTTTTTTCCATCCATCTTGTTTAGCTCTGAACCCAGAAACTGGCTGAATCAAAGCTGAGTGGGTGTGTGCTCAACCAAAGTATGTTCTCCTCCCAAGACAAAAAACCTTTGCAAACAGGATTTCATATATTGAAAGAGAAGGAAAGAATAGTTGCTCTTTTATTCGTGTCATCTTTTTCTAGGTACCTCTTTTAGCTCATCCAGATGAAGAACCTGTGCACACTACAGTTAACACTCAGACCACAAAAATACATTTAAGCCACTGAAAATGAAGTAATCACACCTACTGAAATGTTTTCACCATCTGGAAAGAAAACACCCCAAGGGCCAAGACAGTTACCTAAGAAAATTGCTAAGTATATTACCCAGGCCTGAGAGGCAACAGGCAGGTGGATTCGGTGCCAGTTAGAAAGTGTTATGACGGGCAAAGCATTGTGAAACTCTAAAACTGCAGTTTAATGGAAATGCTGGCTGTCATCCCCAAAGAGCCGTTCAAGGAATCACAGAACTTTAGAATTAGAGGCGGCTGAATGGAAGTGCTCATCCATACTGAACTCAGAAGATTAGGCGGTAACACAAGGATTTTGCAGGTGTGTCCCTGCTCTTAATCTGGCGCCTCTGCCACCACAGAACCCTTCATTCCTCAGGACTTGATGGTGCAGTTGCCGCAGGGGTCATCTGATAAGCTCTCAGCCCAGTTCAAGGATGGGCGAAGCTGACCGGGGACAGGTGTGGGCAGCCCAGACATCTGAGTCCCAGGCAACAGCCACCCCATCAGGCTCCAGCGAAGCACAGTGCTGTGATTCAAAGGCAAGCTTATTCCCAACCTTGTGAAGATAGTAACATTCGACTATTCCCAAGGGCTGGGTGAAGCCAACAGCTTTCTGGGCTCTAGGAACCTCTGTAACTCTTTTCCAACTGTTTTGGTTTGAGTCTCACAGTACACATTTTGTCCCAGGGTGTTTTTCCCTTCATTTTTAAGCCCCAGTGTATTTTAAGGTAAATTGATCCCACATGCTTCTGATTCATTTACACTGAACTCACCAGACCATGTTTGGAAAGAACAATCTGAGGGCCAAGAAGCCTTTGAGCCTGCCTTAAAGTGTCTCAGAGCCCTTTTTCTTAGAAGTAGGAAGCCACATTTTGACACGGACAAACAAAATGCAAGCCCTAGAGACTTGGGTCTGGTTCTAAATGACCTCAGAAATCAGTGGGTCCTCAAATCACCAAGACAAAGCTTCCCTTCCTTGTTTTCAGAAATTAACTGAAAACTTCCTGTGCGCCGTATTGGGCCTGAGTCAGTAATTCAGAGCAGCTCGGTGCACAGTATACATAAACCTTCAGCGTTTCTACCTCCACATCCGCGCCTGACACCTAAGAGTCCCCACACAGGGGGGCCCAGGCTCCCCACCACCTTCCGCTCTTTCCTCTGTGGAGAGCTGAGCTGGGCCTGCATACTGGCAAGTCTATAGGAAGTCGTCCTTTCTCTTCTGAGCCACAAAACTGAGGCCTTCTGAGCCATCTGTGGTTGATGTTATTATTAACACCACTTGAATCTGACTGATGGGGCACAATGGGAAATGGTTTGGGTTGCTTAGTTTAGTTAGAAAAACAGCCAACAGCAAAATTCGGTGTGCAATGTCGGTGTGGGAAATGCCTCTGGGTAAACATGCAGTCCCTTCCACTGAAGAACCAGCTACTGTGGGTCTGTGCAGCTCTGCTAACCTAGGAATCCAAGGCCCCGTTCCTGGCACAGAAGAGCTCCTTCATAAATATATCCCGGACAGACAGAATGTGGGTGTCTGTCCTGCAGACTCAACTTCAGCCATCAGAGACTCTACCTTCTCTGACTGCTCAGGTGGTCTCCTGGGAGGGGGCACAAGGGCAGCTGAGTCAACTGTCCTCCGATTGGTGTCTTGCACTGTTGACTCTCTCCATCCCTGGCCTGGGGTTCTAAACCTTCAAGGGACTCCAGGATCCCTGATCAGGAAAAGGACGATGAACCCTACACACAATAGAAAAGATGTCGAGGACAAGGAGGCCAGGGTTTGGGCCACCTTTGTTCCTTCTCTTTATAGAGTTTATAATAATGCACTCCCAACTCTGGCTATTTACTAGTTTTTAAAAATTCTGATCCCTGGGCCCTACCTAAGACCAATTAAATCAGAATCTCTCTGGGAGTGAGGCCCAGGAAATAAGTTTTTTTCTTAAAAACTCCAATAGTTATCCTACTATGCAGTCAAAGTTGAGGGCCACAGGCAAAAGAGGTGAAGGGGATACCAAGGTACAAATTTCCAATTATAAAATAAGTAAGTCACAGAGATGAAACATACAACATAAGGAATACAGTCAATAATGTTATGATAGCTTTGTATGGCGACAGTTGGTAACCGCACTTCTCATGGTGAAAATTTCGTAGGGTATATAACTGTGGAATCACTACATTGTATACGTGAAACCAATGTAATACTGTGTATCAACTATACTTCAATTTTTTAAAATAAATCAATAACTTGAATACATTCCTGTCCTGGAGGAATATCTGGAAATCATCCACATAATAGACTGTTAGTTGTTTTCTAATCGAGTGAAATAGGTTTCAGCATTAATGCCTCTCCCTTTGTTCTCCACGCGCTCTTCTCTGTCCTCCACGCTCCACCATGTATCTGAGGAACACATGATGACGGGGCTCTCTGCAGAGCTTTTCAAGCCGGTACACAATAAATGGGTTTAAGGAGAACCAGAACCAACCCAAAGCTGAATCACCTACGATGCCAAATGAACCAAACACGAGATCTTTTCAAATATTTAATCAGTTTGGAGACCTCTGCCTTCCAACCCAGCTGGGTAAAAATCCTAAAGAAAGCATGACTGAGGGGTCCTCAAAGAAAACACTGGGCTACGATGGGTTGGGGAAGACAGAATAGAACATATGTCTTCAGGCCTTTGGAAGGAGACTATCACTTATTTCTAAAAAATGCTCAAAATGAACAAGAGAGGATTAAACAGTTACACAAATTAAAGGACAACTAAAACTCCTTTTATGGCTGAAAATGCCAGACATGGTTTTGAAATAGACTCTGCAAAAACCCTTAGATCCTGCTGCGGCTTCTTTCTGTAGCCTTCTCTGTATATACAAGAAGCGAACTAACTAGCCAAGCGTCCCCACGAATTCTTCGGGCCTTTGCAAAGAAGCAATCGGCGGGAGAGAGAAAGAAGGCAGGAATGAGGCGAGAGAGGGCTGTTCACAGTCTCCAAACAGGGACTCAGACCCCAGCAAACCTAATCTATTTTCCTTGAAAAATATGAAAGTAAACTGGAGGCCTTGAAAAATCACCATCGATCTCAGGTCAGAGCGCCAATGATAATATTTTTCGATAACTGCATCGTAGGAACAGGGGGAAGTATGTCCTTCAGAGGGACAGGTCTACAATAATACAGGTGGGGTCAGGACGTGGCGGCTGACTCCTCAGGGAATGTCCAGCAAGGAAGGTGTAAGGTGTGTCTCGCTCTCCTTCTCCCTCTGTTTCTTCTCTGCTCCTGTCCCTTGGTGCTGCGGAGAGGCGGTGTCAGAGGCTCCAGCCTGCAGCTCAGAATGGGTACTGCGACACATATATCCGCAGTCGGATCACAGAGCTGCCTCTGAAGTTGATGACGGTGTTGACAGTGATCATTTCCAAGTCCAGCTGCAGGTCTCGGGGCCCTTTGATGGGGCGTGTCATCACCAGGGTGGCACTGATGGGGCCCGTTTGCTGTGAACAGAACCAGGGATCCTAGTTAGAGAAGGCCTGGCAGGGTCAGCCTGACTCCAGGAGCTGTCGAATAACAGCAGAGAAGGTGAGGAAAGCTGTGTGCCTGGAGACATGGCCTCTCACACGACTGCCAGAGCAGAAGGCCAGGTGGTCCGGCTGCAGCCCCCTTCTGCAGCCTCCATCACGGCACTCCCCCCTTGCCCAAGGCAGTCAGACTGGCATCCCCTTGGTGCCACACTCAACACTGGTGTGGCCCATGTTCCACCACACTTTTTCCTGCTAACCCTTCAGTTTCCACCTGAAATGTCACTGCCTCAGAGGAGCCTTCTCTGCTTTCCCCAATCTAATCCAGGTCCCCCATCACCCCTTACCACTGTACCCTATACTTTGGGACTGGGGTCAGGGTTTTCACCTCTGAATCTCCACAGAACCCAGCATGGGGCATGGTACACAGTAAGTGCTCAGCAAATATGTCCTGAATGAATGAATAATGGTTGGCTGACTATGTGATTTAGAACTGTCACTTCACTTCTCTGGGCCTCGTGTCTAAGACGAGGGTTCCAGATCAGTAATTTCTGAGTAAACAGCCTCAGAGCCCCTAAGACACATTTTTTAAAACAACAATTGCAGATTTTCTGCTTCAGAGGATTTGTAGCTGATGCCTGGGGAAAGTACGACTTGTTCACAAGCCTCCACGTGGTTCTGATGTACTGCCCCATCTAGACACGCTGTGGTCACTCCCAGCTTCCCACTCTGACACCCTTCCAATGCTGTCCTAATCACTACATGTGAGCATTTTTCCTCCACTGAATCTTTTTCTAAAACTTTTGAGGAGGTGGGGAGAGAGGACTGACGTCAACTGAGCCTCCACCACGTGTGAGTCACTCTTCCAGCCATGCACTTATTTAATTCTCATAAAAGCCCTGAGAGGCTTTGTTATGCAAAGTGTGGCCCCTGGACCAACACTGCCAGCGTCACCAGGGAGCTTGTTTAGAAACACAGGACCTACTGAGCCAGAATCTGTAGCTTAACACAATCCCTAGGTGATTCATGTGCACATTAACAACTAAAAGCACAGGACCCAGTCTGGGAACCCTGGCTGCCTTACTCAAGATATGTCTCATTATTTCCCCATTTTATAATTAAGCAAACTGAGGTTCAGTGAGGTTAAAGTCATTGCTGAGGGTCACCTGAGAAGTCAGGGGCAGAGCTAACGGTTTCTATCTGGGTGCTTCTGTCTGACCTCAACACCCAGGACTTCTTCACTGCACAGCTATCAAGAGACTGCCATGTGTTGTACTTGTGCCTAGCACTGCCTTTGTGGAGAATGCCCAGGGGCAGGTGCAGGGGCCAGACAGTAGGCCCCTGGAGGGGGAACCGCATGAGCGAGCAAACATATGCTGGGCAATTGCTTCCTAGAAGCTGCACAGCCCAGTGCAGTGCCCAGAAACTGAAAGCAACAGACTCTGTCAAATCAAGAAACTTTTGGCTTGTTTAGGGCCACAGCAGGTGTTTTATCTGTCTCCATAAAGGGAGGGCTCCCCATAAAGTTCTGGACCTCCCCAGGAACTGCCGTAGGCATGACAAGGGTAAGGCAGGCCGACAGGTGCCAGCCAGATTCTGGGACCTCCCCTGTGCGCCGGGTTATCAGCAGCATGACGCCTACACAATTTCCTCTTGGCACCAGCTACCTCTGTTCCCATCAGCATCGGCGAAATTAGCACCTCCTCACAGAGAGGATGGCTCGAACTTCTCTGTCAACTCTCGCAAAACCTCAGAGCCCTGGGCCAGGACTTCAGAGGGCACAGCCACACAGGGAAATGCCCACGGCATTTACATACAGAAATATCTCACCAGCCTTCACTGTTGGCATGTACAAAGGCCGAGGGTTGAGGACTCCGAGCTGCGGGCAGCCCTCTGGAGAAAGTCCTGCAGAGCCCAAGGCCTGGGAGTGGGTAGAACCACTGGGGACTCCCACGGACTTCCCGTGGGCTTTCCTGGTAACGGTCTGCAGAGTATGAGAGGGTGATTGCCTCTCCCATTTAGATGTGACCTTAGAGGTCAGCAAGTCTGATCTCCACCAGCGTCAGACGTGCAATAGCCCAGGAAGCTTGCCCACAGCACAGGGAGGACTCACTGCCCATCAGGAGAGTTGAGGCTTGAAGGGGGGCAGAGGCAGGACGTTAATGAAATGGCCCCCTGAGGGCCCCTGGTTATCCGTGGACTTGGTGGTATTTGGTACAAAATGATGATGGGGGTGGTGATTTGGTTACAACTTTTCATACATCTCTTATGTAATCCTCATAACCTTATGAAGTAGGTTAAGTACACTCCATGATGTCACAAGAGTAGTACCTGGTACTCGAGTGTCTGTCCTAGTACCTCTCACTTCCCTGAATTCCACTGCACTTACTCTGCTTGAGAATCACCGCTCAGCCCTATAAATGTTTGTCTGGGTGTTTGTGCCCCTCTCCTCTATAACGTGGGTTTCTCTGGGGCAAAGGCCATGAACTGTTTGCCCCTGAACTCTCAGTGCCTGACTCAAAGCCACACATATAATGGTGTGGAATTAATGTCAGTGCCAAAAGAAAGAACGAGTGACTGAACACTGCTGGGGGTGACCACAGTGGCAGCATGTGGCAAACAGGCCCACAGCATGTGTCTTCTTGACCCTACTCCCAACATGCTCAGGTTTGTTCTGAATCAGCCTGTGGGATGGCGCTGTCTGACGTAGCCAGCAGCCAGGCCCCAGCAAATCAGCTTCCCTTGAACCTGCCACCTGATCCGCATGTGTCATGGAGTAAATGCACTTTGGCACAGGTGTGGACCCCACGACCATGCTCCTTCTTCTCGCCCTGATGGTGACCCTGAGTCTTCTGCCTTCTGTCCAAGGCTCAGAGTGAGACGGACGGCCAACAGGGCTTGTGAAAGAGGTATGTGTGTGAGTGCACATGTGTATGTACATGTTTGCATGTGTGTGCGTGGGGATGGGTGTGTTTTGCATATGTATGCATGTAATACAGTCAGTGAACCTCCGTGTGGGAAAGCCCGAATGGCCATCAAGCCCCGCCTCCTTTGGGAGGCACCGTCAACTTCTCCAGGGCCCAGGAGCTCACAACCTCCTACCTGCAGGAGCAGGAGCAAAACGCTATCAATACCATACTAACAAACACTTCTGAACACTTTCTATTGTTACTAGATGTTAAAGTAGACTTTTCTTGTTATCTCAATTTCTGCTGAGACCCCAAAGCCCGAAGAGAAGGTGAAAAGAGAGGCCACATCCTAAAGAGAAGTGTCAGAGTATATATCAGTTTGGGCACCAGACTGCTCTGGTGCCGTGAGACCTTAAACAAGTTACCTAGCCACTCTGTGCCTCCATACCCACAGCTGTAAAATTGGGATGGTCAAGCAGGCTTTATGGCATAGGATTGTTGTAAAGATGAAAGGTGGGATATATGGAAAGTGCTGGGCACAGTGCACAAGTCAAGTATTGTATAGGACTTGTTGCTTACGCTGTTTGTGTAATTTCTGTCGCTCTTAAACATGACTGTAAAGCAGTGACCCAAAGCCAGATCTGTCTCACTCTGTCACCACCACACTACCAGGCCCACCTCAAGCACAAGGGAGTTTCAAGAGAACTGTTCAGAGATGTGGGTCCCCTGATGTTTAAGGATGCAGAGAGCAGTGCCTGACTCTCTCTGCTGGAGAAGCCAAGAGCCCCGGAGCTGCCTTGCACCACGGTGAGGAGAGGGGGCTGCAGGCAGCGTCTATGGGTGTTCTGGAAACCCCCTGTGAGTCTGCCTGCCAGCGTGGGGCAACACCACTCAGCCCCTACCAAAGTCTGTGTGAGACACAGCACCAGAAAGTAGGGCAGAGGGGTTTGGGGTGGCAAGAGGCCAACAAAGGGCCCTCTCGCCCACACAGGGAACAGTCAGTGCAAAGTCCTCAGGCAAGTCCTGGGAACCCACAAAGCATCCTGGAGAGCAAGAGCCTTGGGCCTCTGCCCAGGACGCCACCAGTGTCTGCCTACGGCAATACCAGTCCAGCGTACCTCTCCCCTTCCTCCATCTGCGACCTTCCAGCCCTGGAGGAGGAGGCAGAGGCAGGACAGCCAGTCGGGGGAGGGAAAGAGGGAGGCGGTATAGAGGCCAACCGTCCCTCCCTCCCACCCTGCCTCTGAGCAGGGGACGGGGAGGTTGAAGTTTCCATTTAAACCAGCTCAGACTTTTGATATGGGAGAATAAGACAATTCAGTAGGAACTCAAGGTGCCCTGGAATCCTTTGGGACCCACCTGAGAAGTCACCCAGGTGAAACAGCAGGAGGAGAGAAAGACAGGTACTGACTGTCCCACCCTGGCCAAATCTGCTGTTTTGATAGAAACAAGCCATTCTGTATTCCAGGCACTGTGCTAAGTAGATGATCTCATGTAATCCTAAAGTAAATACTAATTAACCCCTCTTCACAGTTGCAAAAATTGAGGGTCAGAGAGGACAGGTAACATGCCCAAGATCTCACAATTGGGAAGTTGTAGACATAAGTGAAGCAGGTCAGCCTGGCCCTGGGGACCCCCGTTAGACAACTGTACGTAGCCCCTGATGAGGGTGCTGCCGCTCTGGACAGCTTGGAACGTGGAAGCCCTGCCTTATCGGGCAGGTTTCTCTGCCTTCCTGCCCCCATGCCCCACGGCTTCACAGGCCTCCCCCCAACCCTACCACCACCACCACCAAGCCTGTTTTCTCCTTCAGTGCAGCTCTTGGGAACAGCCCGGCCAGTTGCCACCTCCCACTTCCCAAATTCTTAGGGTGGCCTACAGCCCTGCATCCCCTTGGTGTCCTGACATCCTCCTCTGAACAAATACGAAAGAACTAGGGCCTTGTCAATGTTCTGAGGGGCACAGGCATATCGGGCAGTAGAGGAAGCTTCTGGGATGAGCCCTCCCTTCCTTCCATTCCATCTGTAGGACAGTCTTCCCACACCACCACTGGGAACCTCTCACAAGTCAGCCACTCGGGAACATTTGGGTTCTGAGGGAGTTTAGTAGGTGGTGTCCTGGAGAGTGAAATGCTCCCTAATCTTACCTAGACAAGGTCATCTTCTGCTTATTTTCTTTTCTGCTGGGCAGAAACCTGACATGGCCGGTATCCGTGATGATATTTTGAACCCCAGGCAGACACATTTATGCCCTGTGATTACACCCGCTGGGTCTGTACAGATGAGAGAGGCCAGACTGGAGTACGCCAGCAGGCTGGGCAGCAGGCCCATGGAAGTCCACAGCTGTGGGTTTCTGCTGGACAGCTGTTGTTCACGGGTTTGGAGAAAGGATAGGCATAAACACAGCTCTGTCTTTCCCATCTTGCAGAAGTGCCTCTATCCTCAATTTGATCCATCCTCTTCTAAAGCCTTTGAGCCCTCTACACTGGTCTGCAGATGATGGCTGCACAAGCCTCCTTATCACTGTTTGAGTCTCGCCAAACACATATTAGTGAAGATACAGGTATGATCCCAGCCCTTTCTTAATCTACTCTAAACTGCTTCTGAGACTTCCCTGTTTTCCGACAGTCCCAACCCCAGAGGCAAAGACTGGAAGATTCCACCAGAAGATAGGGAAAGGAAGGGTAGAAAGCTCAGATATTTGGTCCTTTTGAAGGCCCTGGGGGCCATTTCCCATAAAAGATGGGCAGCTTCCATGGGCCTATCCTTCTGAATAGAGCTCCCCACAGTGACCCTGGAAAACTATAAATTGTATTTGCTAAAAATGTAGACTCCTGAGTGTAGGAGGCTGAATAAATGGCCATCAAAGATGTCAGATACTAATCCCTGGAACCTGCAATTAATACCTGATTAAGAAAAAGAATCTTTACAGCTATGATTAAGTGATGGATCTTGAGAAGGAGAGATTATCCTGGATTATCTGGTTAGGCCCTAAATCTAATCACAGGTGTCATTGTAAGAGAGCCAGAGATTTGTCACACACAGAAGAGGAGGAGACAATGAGACTGGAGTGATGTGGTCACAAGTCAAGAAATGCTGGCAGCCATCAGAAGCTGGAGGAGGCAAGGAACAGATTCTCCCCTGAGGCCTCCAGAGGGTATACAGCCTGCCAGGACCTTGATTTTAGTTCACTGAGTATGATTGCAGACTTTTGACTTCCAATTTCTGCTGTCTTAAGCCACTAAATTTGTGCTAATTTGTTATGACAGCACAGAAAATGGATACACTAGGCCTCAGCCACCATCTTCTGAAAAGAAGCCTCTGGAGAAGAGGTCTGGAACTGGCTTTTTGGACAAGTGCCCAAATTCACACTGAAATGTAAAAAACATCACTCTGAGCCTGGGGTCGCTAAAGAGGTGTGTTCAGTCTAGAGGCCGCAGGAGAGGAAGCTGAATAATATAATGGCACAGTATTACATGCGTGTCATTATAAAGAAGCAAATGTATTTTAGGATGTGTGCTCTAAAGTTTTTTACCAATAGAGATAAGTCAGTGCTCGTTGATGGAATTTTCTATATCTGAGCTAATACAGCAGCCACATGTGGCTATTAAGCATTTGAAGTGTGACTAGGGCCACAGAAGAACCCAATTTTTTATTTTATTTCATTTATATTTAAAGCACCACAATGGCTGTGTTGGACAATGCAGATGGAACCCACTTGTGAGACACAGCTACACTCACCACGATATAAGTACCATGAGGGCAGGGATTTGGGGTGTTTTGTTCACCACTGTATCTCGGTTACCTAAATGCATACTAGGTACTTAATAAATATTTGTCAACTGAGTGGATACGTATATGGATATGTGAAGGCCTCTCCCACAGAACTGTAGGTGGAAAGGGACCTAAGACTGTGTCTTGGCCTAACTTCTTATTGCCCAGATGGGGATCCTGAGGCTCAAAGGAGAAGCAGCTTTCACAAGGCCACACCTTGAAGTCCTGCCTCCCACCTGTTCCCCTTTTCTCTCTTCACTCCCACCCGTCCTAGTTGCGCTCTGACCTAGTTCGAGAAGCACATTCCGGGCTAGACACCAAAAACATTGTTAAACGTGGTAACCATGGCTCACCAACCGCTCTTACCCGCATATAGAATTCTCTGCCCTCATTCCCAGACTTGATCTGGAAAATGTAATAAGCCCCAGGGTAGCGAGTCGTGGCTTGCATTTGGAAGATGTCAGCAGGAACAGAGCGCCCTGACACCACATCCATATCCCGGTACAAGATGGTGAAGGGCTGGTCTCTGCAGCCAGGATTCTCAGCAGGACACATACAGCGGCTGTTGGGAAGGGATATCATATGAGAATGCAGTCAATCCTTTCCAGATGCTGGTTGGACCTACTTCCTCACCTAAAACACTGAGGAGGCGGCCACCCTGTTTTTATCATCTGAATGCACTTAACTGTAGCCTCTCTGCTCCTGGCTGTCATCTGAAAACTCCCCAGCATGTAGGTGAGCTATTTCCTATAGAAGGCTTATTCTAATGGGTCAGATAGTCTTGCCGTTAGGGTATAAACCTTAGATGTCTGGTTTTCAGAACACTGGAACGTGCTCTAGTGTACTTTACATTTAACATATATTTAGATGACAAAATATGTAGCTGGTACACATAGCCCTTCACTTTCCCAGCCATATACACTCATTATTTTAAATTTTGAAAAGCAATTTTAAAAATGAGAAATTACATTAGATTGACAGTATTGGGTAGTCTTTTTACGTTCTCTGTTACACTTAGCACAGCCTGTGTGGAACATAACTTGATCTTTTCATTTCATCGACAAGAGTTCAGAACTCACTACATTTAAGACACGATGTTAGACTCTTTTGGAATTGTAATGATAGATAAGGTCCTATCCTCAACTAGTTCACCTTCTAGTAGGAGAAATAAAATCATAGACACAAATATCTCTAACACAAAGCAGTTAACTTGAAACACTAGTAACAGCATTGATATAATATAAAATCACTAACTTTTGCTACCAAAGGCAACCCTTGATCTATCCATAACCATCCCCTGTCTCTCCTTATCCCTTAGACTCCCCTGAGGCTCAGAGTTCACAGCAGGATGAAGCTGGCTGTTGATCTACTGGTGGCCAGAACTGGGAGTTTGCTGTGTTGTGTTTCTCTCGCTGTCCCCTACCTGCTAATCTATCTTCAAAACTTATACAGTCCAAACCCAGCCACTTCTCACCATCTCCACTGTCTTTCAAGCTACCATATGTCTCACCTGGACCTCTGGGATGGCCTCCCAATAGGCTTCTTCCCCCTCTAACCCATCACACAGCAGCCAGAGTGCCCTTTTTCAAACAAAAATCCAATTATGCCCTATCCTGCTTAAAGCTTCTACAGTGGCTACCCACTGCAATTTGAATAAAAGCTAAGCACCTGCTTTAGCCTCTAAGATCCCATGGGGTCTGGCCTCTACCAATTTTTCTAAACTTCTCTGAGGTCACTGTCCACTTCACTCACTAGGATGCAGCAACTCAGACTTCCTCGTTCCCTGAAGACATCAAGGTCATTCCTGCCTTGTGCAGTTTGCACATGCCGTTCCCCCTGCTCTTCCACTCTCCTCTAACACCGACTCACTTTCCCATTCCAATCCAAAAGTCATTTCCTCAGAGGAGCTTTTGGACTCCCCAGTCTAGACCAGGTCCAGCCTACTTTCTTTTTTTTATAAATTCCCATTCTTCCTCATTCCTAGCACCTATCGCAGTCTGTGATTATGTATCCATTTATGTGATGATTTGTTTAACGTCTTTCTCCTCCACTCTCACAAGAGCAGAAACCAGAGCCTAGCATAGTGTCTGACACATCACAGGGCTCAACCAACATTTAATAAGTGAATGTATAAAAAGAATTTCTAAAGTTTTGTTTTATAAGGCTTAATCGAAATAGCTTAGTCAAAATGTCCTTGCGCCAAAATAGCCACATTAAAATGCCATGTGTCACATAGAAAAAAATTGTTCCCTAAAAGAAGTTTGGAGGAGGCAGTGATGGCTCCCAGCTGACGAGGATCACAAACAGCTGGGAGAGGTGGCATCAGAACTCGGATCTTAAAAATAGGGTGGATCTGTCGATGTGGCGATGGAAGGAATGCCTTCCATATGGCAGAAAACGTGTGCACAAAAGCTGGGAGGCCGGACAGTCCAAGAATGGTAAAGGTGTGAGCAGGCCCTGTTGGGTTGGCAGGAGTACCGGGCAGCTGAACGAGGAAGTGAGCTGGAAGGGGGCGGCTGGAGTCAGACTGGAATGGGGCCTGGAGGCAGCGAGTCACCGAGCGCTTTCAGCGGCATGCCAGGGACCTCAGCGGTGACACCGGCTCAGTGCTGCAAGTTGAACGGGGTCATGTTCTCAGCACAGACAAGGGGGGCCAGGAGGAACCCAGCGAGAACCAGGAATGGAAGCTGGGGAGAGCAGCCTGAAGCTCTGCTCTGCCACAGAGGGCCCTGGAACCAGAAACCAAAGAACCCGGTTCTGAAGAGTTGCTAAGACCTGTCATCTTTTGCCAGTTTTTGATCAGAACAGGAAGCACACTGTTAAGCCATGAATTCTTCTTAGATGCTGCATTTCTAGAAGACATGATGGGTGTGTCCAATTGATCCCTTCATCTCCAGTGCAAGGGCTGGGCATCTCTCAGGGTTAGTGAATGTGTGATTGTTTGGAAGACAGGAGGGCAGAAGATGTACATGGCACGCTCACGTGGGTGTGTGAGTGCGTGTGTGTGTATGTGTAGGCAGTAGGCCAGGTCTCCTGATTCCCTGGCAGGTACACTCTCCTTTACACCAATACTGGCAGCCTCCTGAACCAGGCCCGTCACCCACATTTCCATTTCCTAAGGGGAAGCCGTGACTTACTTATCACTGATTCGCAGATAAGGCTCCTCGCAGCGAATGGGGTCAATGCACTTGAAGCCCCCTTGCAAATTGTAGCAAGTCTGCTGCAGGGTACATGTGTGGTTTCTGTGCTCACACTCGTTGATGTCTGAAATGCAGGGTAGGACAAGAGACTGAAGCAGAACAGCGCTTCCAAGGTGTTGGCCCCGGGCCAGTGTGTGGAGGTAGGGTGGGGCTGCCTGGGTCTTATTATAGAGCTGTGCTATCCAATACTGAAGCCACTGGCCACATGTGGCTACTGAGCACTTGAAATGTGGCTAGTCCCAATTGAGATGTGCTGTAAATGGAAAATACATACATACCAGATTTTGATGACTCAGTACAAAAAAAAAGAATGTAAAATATCTCATCAATAATTTTTACATTGAGTACATGTTGGAATCATAATATTTTAGATATACTGCATGAAATAAAATATGTTCTTAAAATTAATGTTACCTGTTTCTTTTTACTCTTTTAATGTAGCTACTAGAACATTTTAAATTTCAGATATGGCTCACATTTGTAGCTCACTTTATATTTCTATTGCCCAGCATTGCTAAGGGGAATTCTTTTTTGGTGTTGGGGTGAGACAGGTTCAAGGAGCTGAAAATTGGTCAGTTGCTCAGCTACCAGCCTGAGCCAGTGGGGGAGCCGGCGAGGGCTGGAAATCAGCCCAAGCTGGAGAATATCCACCCCTTTCACAAGCTGGGGTCCTGACCCTTTGTGTGAGGTTTCCCTGGCATCCATTCTCTAGGAAGTCAGTAGAGAAAAGTTCACTAGGCTATCTCCAGGGGCGATGAGAAAGCCTGGCCCTGGTCCACAAGCAGGGCCGGACCACAAATCCTGGCTGGGTCTGGAGCAGTCCTCTGAGGGAATCATAGAGATCTGCCTGGGGAGGCAGGACCAGCCCTTCGTGGGCGCCACCTGTAGCTTCAGAGCTCATCACGGAAGCAAGAGTAGATGCATGTTCTTTCTGAGGCCAAAGGATGGGTTGCAGGGCAGAAAGGCATCAGCCCAGAGCCTGCCGCTCCAGGAGCCATCGGCTCTCATTCACACCCTCACCCTTGCCACGTCCCCCAGGTGACCCCCTGAGCCAGCCCCACCTCTCGCCTCCCCAAGCTAGGCCCCTCTGGGCAGCCTTACTTACCCTGGCAGCTTCGGTTGTCATCCAGCAGGATATAGCCAGGGGGACAGGAGCAGAAGTAGGTGCCAAGCTGGTTCACACACTCATGTTGACAGAGGAACTCAGAAAAGCTGCACTCATCCATATCTGGGAACATAGCAACAAGTTACACCTGCTGTTTGTGATCCCAGACTAGCTGGGGATGGGAGCTTTGGGGTTACCTGCTCTAACTCCCACACTCTCCTGACACATAAGGTGGGCTTAGTGCTACGCGGTTGCCGGTTCACTTCTTAAACACTCTGGTGACGGGCACTCACCACCCATTGAGGAAACCCACTGATATTTGCATGGCTCTAACGGTTAGAAATCCTTTCCTACAGAAAGCTGAAATCTGTCTCCATTGAGCTTCCAGTGCCCTCTGCCCCTGCCTCAGCTCCATTATTTGCGCCTTACTGACATGTGACCTGGTAGGAGAATTTTGTTTGCCTGCTGGAGATTTTGGGTACAGAGTTCTTCCCCAAGACCCAGAAAATGTTCACTGGCCCTGGTCTTCTGAAAGGGCAGCTTTACAGTGTTAATGCCCCCCTCACCACCTCAAAGTTGGGAAACAATATTCCTAAAATCACACCTAAAAGGGACATACCCAGAAGGCCAGGGGTTGTCCATTATATTAAAACTTCATTGTGTCCAAAACCTCTTGGAAAGAGAAAACTTTGGGTAGCCTGCCTGCTTCAAAAGGTCCCTGGGACATGGGACCCTGGAGCTCTGTGGCTCTCCGGCTGCAGAGGTGGGGACAAGAAGGGGGAGACGAGAAAGCGGCAGCGCCGCGGATAGGGAAGCAGGCGTTCCAGGAAAGCCGGCTCTTCATCACACACAGTCTGGCAACAGAGCCCCTGTTCGAGCCTCACTCGATAGGCACGCCAAAGAAAACATGTTTTTCTTTAATTTGTTGTTTCCCGAAAACTTGCTTTCACTAGTTTCCCCATGTGACATGTCCTCAGATTGCTCTCTAACTCACAGACCACTGATGGCTGGAATCACCTAGAGAAGGTACCAGCACAAACGAGGCCGCTTCTTCACTATCAGGTAATTCTGGGTGTTTCCTGCCTAATACTGCTCACATCAGAGAACAAAAACCTCCTTTCCAACTCTCCCAGGGGGCTTCAGGCAATGGGTCATGAGCCAGCAGGCTTGGGATGCTGATTTGAAAAGTTAAAGCATGCTCAGCAAGGTAAGATCTGCTTCTGTGTCGTCCCCAGGAGCCTTGTAGAGTCCCATGTCTCTGGGCCCAGGCCTGAGAGAACAGAAAGTGTCTTCTTTTATCTCTGTTAAGTTTGTAGGTTCATTCACACCTTTAGTAGAAGCTGTAGTAAAACCTGGCAATTCCTGAGAGCTCACTATGTACCAAGTGGTGGGTTAAATGCTTACTTAATCCCCACCTCAGCCTATGAAGGAGGTGCTATTACTAGCCCCATTTTATAGAGGGAAAATGTGAGACTCACAGAGGTTAGGTAACTTGACTAAGTTCATGGATGAGGTTAGGTAACATGACTAGGTTAAGGAGTAAAGCCAGGATCTGAACCCAGCCAACCAGCCTCCAGATCTTACATCAACACAATGCTGCAATGTGCCCCTGACTAATCATGCTCAGGACTTAAAATCAGGGGATTTGAGGAGTGCTAAGGGTGGAGGAATCCTACTAGCAGGGCTAGCTCCACTGCAGATGCACAGGGCCGCACCCAGTGCCACCTCCTGTTGGGCAAGGAGAGGCCCTAACCGGCCCACAAAGTTTATCTTAGGTCTGCGATCCCCGGACCTCCCTAGGGCTGTGGCTGCATCCCCCACCAAAAAGCTGAAATACAAGCCTGATTTCTGGCAGGGAGCACACACGAGGCCACTCTCACTCATCCACATGAGGAGCCACCACGGCTTCCAGGGGCAGCTCAGCTTGGCAAAGGCGGGCAAAATAGGAAGGGCCTGGTGCCACCTAGAGGGGCCACACCTGCTGCGCTAACACAGTGAGGGTGACAGTTCCTGGGGAAACCGAGAAGCAAAGAAAGGGGATAAGCAGGAAGGGATAGAAAACGAACTGTTCATGTCACATTGCTATCCTGGGCCATCCCTAAAGCCCTCAATGGCCAGGAGTCACTCCCAAATCTTAGGAAAGTGGGCAACACTGTGAAGATGGAGGAGAAGATGGCCATTTGAGTAAGGACAGTCAGCTGAAAACCTTTGCCAAAACACCAAGGATGTAAACTTGAAAACCCCGAAGACTTAACACTTAGGCTCAAACAAAGTAAATTAATGGGAAGGGCGCTTAGGCGCACCTACGTGTTTTATCTCAATGCCCACCCTGTGAAGGATGAGTTTGGGTTGTTTTTTAACAAATGAGGAAACTAAGGCTGAGCAAGTGACTTGGCCAGGGAAAGCAGAGCCAGAATTTGAACTCAGCTCCTTCCGGCTCTTCACTCTACTAAGCCGCCTCTGCGGGCAGTCAATAAACTGGCCATCTCTCAGTGCTGGGGCCTAGAGTCCCCAAGGAGAGTCGTGGGGAGAACTGGACCCTAGCGAGAACACAGCTTTCCATGCCTGAGGATCCCATCAGCTTCAGGCACTGACATTCATTTAGCCTAAGGTGCTCAGTAATAACTGTCTCCTTGGGACTCCGGCTTCCCTGGCCCTCAGCAGTGGGGCTCGCTTGTCTCAGGGAACTGTAGCCCTAGAACACTCCGGTCCCAAGTGCAGCTACCACGCACGTCTCATTCATGACCTGGGTCAGTTCCTGTTAGAATGAAACCCAGGATTAGGAAACTTCCCACTCTGCAGGACAAAAAAGAGTTTCATGCCCTAGGGGAGGGTTCACTTATTTTGAAAAATACACCAAAGCATCATTTATTTGGACTGTGCTAATTTATAATTGCCGATGAGGCCAAAAGTGGACAGAATGGCATTTACTTTAATTCAACATTTATACAAAACAGAGAACGAAGGAAAAGGAGGAAGAATAAAAAAAAAAAACGAGCTGTACGTGGCTGTGTAGGATGCTTCAGGGATCTTCAAGAACAAGGTGCTGTCCCTATTCTCAAGGACTTTACAAGAGTTTGCAAGTTTCTTATTATAAGGTTTAATAAGAAAATTACAATAGAGCCCACAAGCTAGCATGGGCAAAGAATCACAGTTTCTTTGTCTTGGAAGAACTCTAAAAGGTAAACCAAGCCACCACATCTATGACCTCACAACATATTATTAAGGATTAATTTAATCATCATTCACTGGTTTAAGAACTCTTCATTGCATGCTCGCTCTGTGCCAGGCCTGGAGCTAGGGCACTGATCATTTGTAGAGACTTGAGAAGTTCCAAAGTGCATTTACACACATGATCTCATTCATTCAGTGCCCTACTCCGAACCCTATCCTGTGAGATATGTTATTATTCCTAGGTCATTGCCCTCTGTAAGTACTATCTGTGCTATCCAAGGACTTGAGTCGGTGCTGGGTGAGGACAGATAACTCACACCAACATCCAAAATTGGGTGATTTCTTTCCTTCTTCAACCCCATCTCAGACCCTAAAAGAGAACTCCTTTGGTTTTTGCATTAGGGTCAAATGACAAGGGAGCGGACCCACTTCACTTTTCAGGGAGTGACTCATCTTTGTTTTGTGTAGTTGTGATCTCATTGCCCTAGGAAATGTCTCAGTGCTGGAGATGAGTCTGGGGAATGAGAGGAAACACCTGTGAAAGCAGCCCTTGCCCTCCCTGTGTTCCCCTAGCACAGGTGGAAGTCTACAGTGCCAAAGGCCATTACCACTGCAGTGAACACCATCTTCCTCAAGTTCATATCCTGGGTCACAGCGGCAGATGAAAGAGCCATAGGTGTTGACACAGGTTTGCACGCAGGGGTTCTCAGTTGCACACTCATTCACATCTATGGAAAGCAGAAGCATATTACTGACCATTCCCACCATCTGTACTTAGCTAGGCTGAAAAATGCACTGGCAACAAAGTCTACCACCCCTTGGAGACCAGATGCACAGGCACCAAAGATCTCCATCTGGGACCTCTCAGATCAAGAGCTCAGACCCTAAAGTGTTCACTGAAGGACCATCCATATGTCCCTTCTTTGGTCACACACTGGGAAGGGCAGTAACAACATGTACACACATCATATACATGTATACACATGTACTCATCTACACCTCCTAGTAAGTCCACTCTCCAAAGCTCACCAACAGGAATTGCTGGGCAGTATCACCTATGGTATTACAGCACCAATTAGCGCTTCCTTCATCACCGCTGACCTTGCGTTTCAGGTAAATAGGTAATAACCATGACAATTCTAATAATAACTTTATTATTGCTACGGACTGAACTGTGTCCCTCCCCCAAATTCATATGTTGAAGCCCTCATCCCCCAAAGTGACTGTATTTAGAAACGGGGCCTTTGAGAGGTAATTAAGGTTAAATGAGGTCATGTGGGTGGGGCCCTCGTGATGGGATTGGTGCCCTTATAAGAGGAGCCACCATGGGCTTCCTCTTGCTCCTCCTGCCAGAGGGGCTCACAGTGTAAAGGTGGTCATCTACAGACCCAAAAGAGAGCCCTCACCAGCACCCGACCATGCCAGCACCTTGATCTTGGACTTCTAGCCTCTGGAACAGAGACAAAATGTTTCTTTTGTTGAAGCCACCTAGTCTATGGTATTCTGTCACAGGAGCCCAATTTGAGACGATTATGCATAAATAACGTCGCTGATTACTATAAAAGGAAGTCACACTTACTGAATCCTTCCAACAACCCTGCCTCATTTACATTTTGAGGCTTTTCCTGCGCCACTGATCGTATATGGCTATCATCATCTACCTTGTGGACACACTGCAGTTTTCTTACTCAGTTCCCAGTTAATGGACATTAAGGTCATTTCCAATTGTTACCTCTTATAAATAATTCTGTAATAAACAATAAACATTGTTCATTAAAAAAAAAAAGAAACCGTGCCTCAGGACCATTGCCCCATGTTACAAGTTCAGTAGATTAAGGAGAAGACCAAAAAGGGGCACAAGGAACCTTTTAGAAGTAATGCAATATTCATTATTCTCAGTGTGGTGATAGGTTCATGGGAGTCAAAGTTCATGAACTCATGTACCTTGAACAGTGCAGCTCATTGTACATCAATTATACATCAATAATTTTTAGGTTGTTTTAAGGATGGGAGGTGTGCCCAAGTTCCCAAGGGCACCATTGGAAATGGAGCATGAGTCAGGGGTCTTTCCACAAGACCCGAGAGCCATTCTGCCCAGCCCATCAGAGTCCGGCAGAGGGCAGGAGGGAGCCCCTGCCTGCACTGGCACTGGCCCACCCATAGTTAGCACACCCTCTCCCATGCTCCATATGCTAACCTCCTAAATTCCAGCCAAGAGAATTCCTAGCCCCTCAAAAGTCCAGGTAAACCTCTTAAGGCTCTGAATAGAGATTTGAATGGTTTCAGAGTTACAAGCCTTCAGGGTGAGCAGTTTCAAAGGGCTTTTCTTAAAGGGAAGGGCTAATCCCATGCCTAAACAGCTCAAGCCTCCAGGCATCTTCAGAGCTTTCAGAGAAACAGTCATGCAGGGAGGGAGCCCTGCAGAGCAGTGGGACCCAAAGGACTCTGCACCCCGGGCCCAGGCTCACTTTCCTGCCAACCCTGGGGTCCACGCTTGCCCAAGTGCCCTTCTGAATCCTGTGGGAACACACCACACCCCACTGTGAGTTGCTGGACAGGATGGGTATTTGGTTCGACTCTCAACCCTGCCACCATCTGCCAATGTGATTTTGGCCAAAAACTTAACCTTTTTGTGCCTCTGTTTGCTCATCTGTGAAGCAGGACAACGAACACCTGCCTACAACCCAAGGCTGTTGCTGGGGTTCAGTGAACTGACAGACATCAATGCTCTGGAGCATGCAGAGCTCTTCCTTGCAAGAGGTGTGAGGATCACAAAAGCTGGATGGGGTATGTAGCATCCCTGCTGATGCAATGTCCCGGGGGCTGAGTGCCCGTGTCCAGGCCCGGGTGCTGTGCCTGCTGCTCTGGCACACTGCTGGACTTGGCACAGCCAGGTGTGCTATCTGTTCCTTGCCACAGGCCCATCTCTGAGAGGCCTGAAGGCCACATGGCTTTTTGGCTCTGCTGCACTTGGCTGTTTCTTGGGAGGTGCCGAGCACAGCAAGCCAGTCTCTGGGGGAATCCTGGGCTGGCACTTCCTACCACAGGCCTTGGCACGAAGAAACCTGCATGTGCCCTTAGCCACTTACTGCAGCAGCAGGGGAGCCAGGTGCCCAGTCCCTGCTCCAGTGGGAAGGAAGGGCCCCTGCTCTATCAGCTCCCCCATCCTCCCAGCCTGGGCTCCACTCTCGGAAGAAAATGACCTCTCCTGGCCCGAGGAACACAGTCGAGACTTCCTGGAACAGTTAGCAGAACCAGCTTGGAGGAGAGACTTACAAAGAATCCAGGATCAAACTCTTTAATGCTGATGCCTTCCTGTTTACCCAATGATTTAGATACGATTAAACCAATGGAGACATAATATCCTCCCACTAGCCAGCCAGGAGTCTGCCAGCCAGACCTCGAATGGTGTGACAAGGAAACAGGCCCTGCAAAACCTGGTGGCAGGCTCCAGACAAAGACCTCATTCTGAGTCTCGGCACTGCCTCCACCCTGGACGGGGCAGCTGCCAGGGGCTGGAGGCCCCAGCGCGGGGCTGGGGCAGGCTGCGGCAGGGCCGGGCCGGACTTGCCCTGATCCCTTGGGTCTTAAGTCCCCCATTCACTTCCTGGGCAGAAGAAACCATAAGATGGAAATCGCAATAGGCATGTAGCTTGTTTTGCTTGCTTATCAGTATTTGAAGTAATCATGTGAAAGCCAGAAAATGCCTGTTTCATTCTGGTTTTGTGGGGAGTGCTGAGGAGTGGGGGAAGTTACCACCACCGGCAACTCTTTGCTAAGTAACAGGCCCTCCAAGGACAGGTTGGAGGGAAAACTGGGGGCGATCAGAACTGCCTGTGAAACCCCAGCAGAGTGTATGTGTCTATTTTGCAATTCATCAAGGGTCAGAAGCCCTTTCTGACCACCCCTCTTTGGGCCTCACTAATCGAACTTCGGCTACAGGACACAAGAGAAAATTTCTGATTAGCCAAGGAAGCTGGCAAGGTTACTTCCGGAGAGCAGATACAGAGAAAGGCAAATCCGTGAAACCATAGCTCCCAAAGGATGAATGGCTGCGGTTCTAATCTCAGCAATATTCAGAGCACTTGTTGAGATGTTTCATGTAACCTCAGCTCAGATCTCAGGTTTCTGTAAGCACCGGGGATGGGCGAGCTGTGACACTGAGAGGGACTATACTTTAATAACAGCGTCTCCCACCAACAAATTGCCAGACCCTGAGGAAGACAGTGCCTAGCGTTTCACATCGTGTTCCAGTTATCATTCACGTCACATACCTTGGCACGACCGCCCATCCTCGTTGAGAGTAAAACCAGGGTTGCATGTACAGGAATAGGATCCAGGAACATTTGCACACAGCTGCTGGCAGTAGCCATAGCGGCATTCATCAATGTCTGGAAACAGAAACCCAAGCAACGTAAGACATTTCTTCTCAATCGCAGATGCTGCCCCCAGCATCACTGCTGCCCATCTCTTCTGGAGTGGGATCAAGAAGGAAAGTGAAGGAAGACATTGCCTACTAAGTGTCACGGAGAGTGATATGTTCTGGATTCTGAGGCTCAACCTCTCTATGATCCTCCCTGAGCCGCCGGAACCACCTGAACACCTCAGGTGTTCTGTCCGAGGAACACCTGAATCCATCTTGAAAGCTGTAGAAGTTTCTGCTCTTAGTCTGGGATGTTGGGCAAGGTGGCCTCTACAATTTCATTCCACTCCAAGATTCAAGGCTGAGATTTACCCAACATTAAGAGTCAGCTCTAAGTTTCTATATAAATGTTACCCCACCCTGGGAAGGAACAATTTCGCTAAAAGTGTAAGAGAAATCCATAACCGCACTCCAATAGGCTCCTCGCCAGCTCCATTAATAATGAATGTGTCCAGCTGTCAGGAACAAGAGCTGGTGGAGGCCAGGACACCCTGGGAAACACTACAGTCTGGAGCCCTATGAATCCAGTAACACAAGGATGCTGGAATTTGCCTCAGGTCTTCTTGCACCAGAGCAGACATAAAACTCTGGATAAATATACCTCTCCTAAACCATGGCTGGCCTTTCCTGAGAAAGCAGCTCTGTGGGTGAATGGATCTTTTTAGCAAAGTTGGGCAATATGCCCTACCTGACATGTACCAGTCAGTGGGGAGCCTGATGTCATTGGGAAAGCACTTCCCAATACCCCAAGCTGATGAGCTGATGGGCTGGCAAATTCACTCCTGCAGGACAGGATGTCTTGTATGAAGCCTACAGGGAGAGACCAAGTCCTCATTTATACAAGCACCTGCTGTGACCTTTATAACTGTAGCTGTATCTGGTCTTTAACTCATCTAAATCCCTCCCTAAACATTCCCTCCCAGCTACCCTGGTTCCTTTGGAAACAGGGGCCATGCAGCATTTGGAGGCCAGCTCTGGGCCTGGCTTCTACCACCTGCTGCCAGGAAGGACCCTGCGTCCCTTACCTATTGTTCAGCCCTCCTCAGAGGCTGCACCCTGCCCTTGTGATTGTTTTATCTGGCTCACAGCTACTTCCGGCCTGGCCCACCCACCACCCACTGAGTGCTGTGCAGCTCCTGCTTGGAAAGCACACTGACTTGTGCAGGTGCTGCCCCTTGACTTCTTCCCAGGGTGCAGTTGGGCTCATCACCAATGCCAGGGAGGCAGCAGGGCAGGAGAGAACATCTTCTGTGTACAGGTACCTTGGAGGAGAGGCAGCCCCTTACTTTTCTGCAGAAGCCATGCCTCCCAAAGTGCAGAGATTGGGTGGTGGACAGCTATGGAACTCGCATTTAGAAAGAGAAAGAAGAGTTTCGCAAGGAGAAGACGTGATCAGCCGTAATTGGAAAGGTCTTCCCTGTGGACGTGAAGGGAGAGCAGGCTTCAGGTGGCGTCACGTTAGGCCTCCACTTGCCTCCAAAAGTTTCAGGCTTTATGGAAGAGAACAACCCTGCTGGGAGGAGGAATGAGCCTGGCCCCCCTCAGGTGGGGAGGGGCTTCCTGGCCCCAAGGTCTCTGTAATCTGGCCTGTGGGTCTCTGTCCCCTGGGCCGCTTTGGCGCCCCCTTGGGGTGGAAAAACTGGACCAAGAAATAGGAGATCAATATTAAACCCAACTCCTAATTTTGTCCAAAATGTTCCTCCTCTTTGAGTCTCAGTTTCCAACTCTATAAAAGTTGGATGACATAATATCTAATGTCCCTTCCAGCTCTGAAATTCTACATATTAAGTTCCTGTACAAATAACTCACACGGATCTGCTTATGTTCAAATCGGTGGCATCAAACTTTCCATAATTGCTGGGGTTGGTTTAAATGCACACGACCCCCATGTTCACAAATGCCCGTGTGTGGCCAGCTCTGCAGTGCACGACTGGAAAGGAGAACGGGGCCAAGTGTAGGCTGGCTTATCAGGCCCTGAGGATGCTTCAGACAGGCCTCTAGAGCAGACCCAAATGCAGTCTCAATCACAAGAGACTTGGAAAGAAGGACCGTCTTTTTTCTTGTTTCCATGATGTCTGGATTTGCTTCTCAGCTCCTCCAGGACTGACTCTCAAGCAACAGAACAGTGTCTTGGAGAATTTAAGCTGGTAGGGCTTTTCCAAGAGAACACAGCACAGAAATCACACCCTAGAAGTAGAAATTGAAGTGACAGCTAGAGATTGCTCTGAATTCATTCACTTAGCTACACCAAAAACAAAAGGGGAAGAAAGGAAAATAACATTCCAGTAAAAATAAACAGAGATCATATAGCAGGTGCCCACTGCAAGGAACAAAACTCTCAGCTGCTGATGACTAGACCTTAGGAGTAACAAGACCATAGCCAGCGGGGAGAAGGGGCAGGACGGGTAGGCACCGCGATGGGCTTTGGGGAGGAGATGATGTTGGGTGAACGCGACTGATCCACATTTGAGACTTGGGACATTTCTGTGACTAAGCAAGTGTTCTTTTCTCTTAGTCTGATTTCTGATTACCAGAATAACCCTTCCTTCTCTCACTTTCTGCCTTGGATATAAACCGCCTAAAGGCAGAAAGAAGGTCTAGGTAAAAAATCAAACATGAACCCTTAAAAAAATGCGTTAAAAAAAAAACTCTGATGATGACATGACAGTGAAGGTGACAGCTGGTTCTTAAGGGAAGGTGCTACAGGTAAGCTCCATGGCCTCCTACCTCCCCGACAAAGAAAAGCCCATGGCCCTTAGCCCACCGAGCTATGCCCACATCTCACAATGCCCCTGGAAACTATTAACTGCCAAGAGCCTCGGAACCCCAGAGAGCTGTTACCTAAGCACTGGCCTTCCAGAAGCCAATAGCCATCGGTGCAGGAGCAGGTATACCCTCCTTCGGTGTTGATGCAAATCTGGGTAGGGTTGCACTGGTGGGAATCCGTTGCACATTCGTCCACATCTGTAACACAGGCATATTCCAAAGCATGTCACTTGCATCTATCCAAAGCCCTGGAGCCACCAGAGGGGCCAGCTGCTTACTTGTCTAGATGGGAGGCGGTTGATAATGTCCCTGGGTTATATCCAAGGAGGTGGAAGCACCTCCTGATGGGTACCATTAGGAGACACCTGACCTTTTTGGAGGGAGCAAAGCTAGTCTGTTCCCCAGAAATCCACAAAGGGAAGGGCTAAGAAGAAAACACACCACCTCAGACGCTCTTCTGCCATGCCATCCCACCATCCTCTGAAAGCAGATCACCTTGATAATAACAATTATGTAACTTAGAAACACATTTTGTATTAGGTTTATCCATTCACATGCTAAACAGGGGTCTGCTGTGTACCCACTGTGTGCACAGAGCTACGATACAGACCTCTGAGACATAACAGAAGAAAAAGCCCCCTTGCCAAAGGAAGCTTGTAGTCACTTGACTGTATCAGCCATGAAAATTTTTTGGCCTGAGGCTCCTGTCCCTCCACTAAGCTTTATAAAGCCCCACCCCACCCAGTCTTCCATCCACTCCAGAGCTGCTGGGGCTGAGCTCTTGCTGCCCTCTGCTCATACTGGGTCTCTATGCTGCTACATGCGCCTCGCCATCTGTTTGGTCATGTGCAGGTACTTGTGTGCAAGACGGTCCCTCCTTAACTGAGGGCTTGAGAGCATAGAGACCAAGCTGCATTCGCGATCATATTTCCCAAGTTTTTTCTTGTTTAAGCACTCAAACAGTCAGCTCTCAAAACTGCTCGTTTCTACTGAAACAAGTCCTCTGCCCTCACTCCCCACACTGCACTTTGGGGTGAGCACTCAGAATCCTAGGCATCCTCACACCACACTCTCACTCTGACCTAGAGATGTTCCCTAAACTCCCATCTAGGCATTCACTCCCAATTAGTCTCTGGGCGCCTGGACCCACCTTGCCTGCCGCCAGTTCCTTTCCTCCTTGTCAGTCCTGCCCCAGGACTGCACCTTAGCAGACCCCTTCCCTCTGCCCCCTCAGCACCGCAGTCAGGGTCTGCTCACATTCACCTTCTCCCTGCCTCCCCTGAATGGACCATTGCACAGTTGAAAGAATATTAAAAGCTGTCATTCACTGAGCCTGTGGGAGTTGGCAGCCCAGGCAGAGGAGAGAGGGCTGAGCTTGACTGCCTTTCCCTGTCCCTCCTGGAAGACTGTCTGCCTCTAGGCATGGCAGATGGCACACTATGGTACGGGTAGGAGGGCACCTAGGGCCCCAAAGCGTAAGGTCCCTGAGGGCTTCACCCACTGTGCACCCAGGAAGCAAGCACAGCTGATTCAGTGAAACATTCAGCCAGGTAAGCAATGGTCTCTTGGGTTCAACTGACACACCACCATCCACGACCCACCTGCGACAAGTCAACATCAATGACACGGGCCAATCCTGCACCCACCCCCAAATGATCAGGTGTTTGGGCCTCACAGGGACCAGCCTTCAGTCCTCTAAACATGGACAGTCTCCAAGAACGTGGCTCCAAGGTGGCAGCAGCCTCTACTCTACCCTGACACACTGCTGGTATGCAGCCTTGATGGCAAAGACCCAGCCCTGTTCTCAGCTGCAAGAGCTCCTGCCTTCCCTTGGCCTTCCTTCCACCCCCAGCTCTGCCCACCCAGCCAAGCCTCCCAGGGGAATGGCAAATAATGCTTGGCCAGCAGCCACTCCTGCTCAAATCCATATCGAAGCCTATGATAATAAATAATACCACTATCAGCCAGTGCATATTTACATTTTTCCTGCGGGGAGTGATGGATGGCAATTGTACCCTGGGAACAACATCGCCTTAGGAATTTGTCCTCTTTTTCCTGCCTGAACCAGAATAAAGGGTGAGGGAGACCCAAGGGGAGACGAGCTGTTAGAGAGACTTGGTAATAGCAGGTTCCCAAGTCTCTGTGTTTGTGTAACTTATGGCACAGGCAATGTGCCCACGATGTCCTGGCAGGGAGAAACCAAACATTTGGGAGTGGATTAGACTGGGCTCCCTCCACCACTTTTCTGAGTTAAAGAATTATCTGTTATACTGCATTCCTGTTGTTGTATGCTCAAAAAAACTAAATTTTTAACTTTCACTAACTCAATGAACAGATTGTTTCGATGTATATATATATATATGCATATGTATATGTATATGTGTGTGTGTGTGTATATATTTTTTTCTTTGAGAACCCAATAAGTCCCTGGAGTGTTTTGGGTCTGTGTCCCATCTTTATATCCTCAAAACATGTCTGGTATATGAGCCTGTGTCCATAATAAACGCTTAGTAACTGTTTAGTGAATGAATGAATGAACACATGAACAACAAACATTGGTGCCTTTAAGTCCCCAGGAAAGCTTTTCTCAGCCAACTTGCTGACAAGACCATTTTGGTGCATGGATTTTGAAACAGCCACCCCCACCAAAAGCCACTGTCAGCTGACACACCTGTGGAGCTGAAACTGGAAATGTTCATGCTGTGGGGTTCCGCAGGGGGTAGAAAGACTCATCACACATTCCAGCTCACAGCTGAATTGCTTACATTAAATACATTTGACTTAAATAACAGAAGGAAAAATACATCAAACCACTCCAAGGACATTCTTTGGCAAAGCGTCCTTTTCTGCATCGGTGGAAAAGTACAAATTACGGCAACCTGAGAAAGTGTCATTAACCTCATATGCAAACCGTGCCTGTTATTTCCTCTCCTTTTCTTGGTGATATTTAAGAGGAAAGAATGCTGGGTTCATTCAATCATTCATTCATTCATTTACTCATTCATTCTTTATATTCTCCTGTGGCCCTGTGTGTGCGTATCCTCCCTAACCTCCAGGCCATTTGGGAGAGCCTGTGCGGAGCGCAGTCCCTCCAGCTGTATCATTCCCGGAAGCAGACTTAGAGACCCTCTGCCAGCTCCCTGCCCCCCTCCCAGGAGCACTGCCTAAGCATTGCCTTGGCACCTGGAGGATTCCACCACAGCAACTGTGGCTGGGCTCTCCCCAGGTGGGGCAATGCCCATCTGCTGTCCAGGCGGCCAGCACCCTGGCAACTGGAGGAAAGAGCTCTCTGACTTCTCCAGGACCCGGCAGCAGATCAAAGCCCAGCATTGTGCCTGCCCAGGAATAGAGTCCTCAGCGCTTAGCTGCACGGCTTTGTCTGAGCCACCACCCATTCCTTCAGACGTCTCTAGAGTGGCCTTCAATGAAAACATTTTCAATGTGACACAACAACTGCTCACTTAGGAAAGCCATCCAGATCAGTCAAGCTCCTCTCCTTGGCACTCTCCCAGGAGGCTGCAGGCAGGGCCTCGGGACAGTGGCCCACACATTAGGGATACTTGTTGAGGATCTCATACTGCTAAGCTATGTCTCATGTCCCCCGCCAGTCAGAAAGCTTCACGTGGACAGGTGCATTTAAGCAGAATAAAGGATGTCCTTCGGACAGGTGCACCAGTGGAAATAAAGAATGTTCTTCAAGTACAATCAAGATCTCACAGAGGAACCAGATGGGGGAACTGGCCTCCAACATCGGAATACACCTGCCCAACAACCAAGGGCAAAAAAACAAACAGACTCTCCGCAGCTGACTCACAGGGCAGCCCGGGGAGGGGCCAGAGGCCACAGCGCTGCGGGAAGCGTTAGCCCTTGGAGCAGGAGTCCGTGATGGAAGCAGGGGTGAGAGGCAGCCCCTCTCTTTTGTCAGAGGCAGTTCTCAAGGAACTTTACAGGCATCATGCTGTTGTTTTATGCCTGGGATATGTCCTTGCCTGGGAGTTGGCTGGTTCCCAGAAAACAGCATACAACCCACTTTTCAGTCCCATGTAAAACTGATGGTTCCAAGTATGACCTTAGTGTTAACTCACAGGTTATTATATAAAAATCTCTATAGGTAAGCGTAATGACTGAATGTATTGTCACAAATATGCATCAGTATACTCAAGTATAAATAAAATGCATATGTATACCAGCTATATGTTATACTTGAATGCACATATTATACACACTGCATTGTCATTTCAGCATTTGTTCCTGAAAGTTAAAGGGAAAATACTTTAACCATTTTCACAACACCAGTTCTAACTGAAATAAAATGTCCTTTAAAAACTGTAAAATAAAGCAAACAAAACAAAAACGAATGGTTCCCCATGTCCACAGGGAGAACATTTCCTAGGCCATTCTGCCAGTACCAAATCTGAAGAGGAAAAAAAAACTAAAGGGCTGAGACCTCCCCAGAAAGGGCTAGTGGGTGAAGAATAATTTTGGGGTTAGGCAGAGCTGGGTGTGAATCCAGACTCCTGCACTCAATAACTAAATATTACTGAGCAAGTTCATTAACCTCTTGGGTCCTCAGGTGTTCTGCAAAAGAGAGCTCTGGCAGCCTGCTGTCTAGGTTGCTGTAAGAGTTGATAAATTCAAGTGTGCCCAGGTCCCTACCACTTCCTGGCATGCAATGGAGCTCAGGAAATGTCAGCTCCCATTACTGGTGAGATGCTCTTTCGAACAGCTGTTAGTAATAAAAGAAGTTTGGCTTCTGCCTCCTGCAGGCTTTGTTCTGGGATTCACCAAAGATACCAAGATGATAGCACAGGGCCTCAGTGAGCTGTAATGCATGGTTAATTCTATGGCTCAACCACAGCCAGGCTCTGGAGCCCTCTCCCCCTAGAGCCTCAGACACATGAACAAAGGTAGGTATGTTCCTTCATGGGATCTCGGTTTTCCCCTCTGCACTTTGGCATCTGTGAGTCCATCTATGATGCCATCATGCTTAATGTCTAAAAGCCTAAGGGTACATGTGTTTTACTGAATTCCACAGCCAAATACAATCACTCTTTACATAATCCACAACTCTTCCCTCTTCTCATGTCTTCTCTTCTCCAATATTGTGAATGAGCAAGGGATGACTTTGTGAACCTGTGTACCATCAGGTGCATATTTCTGGTATTGTGTGAAAACAGCCATCAGCCAACAGGCAACAT